CTTGGAAAAAAAAACCAGAAATAAACAATTGTTCTATAATGTTCTTATTAAGGCATGATTGGGATCAGTACCTGGTGCCATCCGATCATCCTAAAGGCAACTCCGTTCCCCAAGGATGGGTCCTTCCCCCGCTCCCCAGCAACGACATCTGGGCAACCGCCATTAAGCTGCATTAGGAAAGATGCTCCAGGAGTGTGGTCCAGCCAACGCTCTTTCCAGCTCTAAATATTAGTGATGTTGCCATCTTATGCTGTAGACTAAACCATAACTGCTAAACTCCCTGTGTCAATGCCCTAGCCTAAAGTTATGCTTTCTTATATGCTCTGTCCTGGCCAGAGATACCTCTTGAATCAGGAGATTAATATTGTTCTTCGGGGAGGGGCTGGGGATATACCTCAGTTGGTAGAGTGCCTGCCTCACATGCACAAAGCCCTGGTTCAATCCCCAGCACCATAAAAACAATATGGTTCTTCAGGAAAGGACCTAGGTGAATTGAGGTTATTACCACAGGTAGTGACCTTGGTTCACTAAATTTGCCTCTGTTTTGAGGGGCTTGGTCTAGAGTGACTTATTAATTTAGTCTAACTTCCTTGTATGGTGATGGGTAAGTATACTCAATACACTTAAATACTCAGAACAAGTGTGTGCTGGGTGGATTTAGCAGCCTGTCACCAATAACTGAGCGTAAAGGCAAGCTTGATGCAAAAACCTTCTTACCTTCCTACCTAGAGAACACTAACTCCCTGGGGTAAAGGTCAAAAGCCTTCAGTTTTCTTAATCCTAGTTTTTGTGCAGCTTGGGAGATGGCAAGTTAGGAAGATGGCAGTGGCTACAGTCTGGGCTGCCAGAAAACATGATGGCCTAGTCTCAGTAGTCATGCAGAGAACTTAGGAAATCTGAAGAGTACCCATATTCAAATTGGATCATGTTTTAGTGGACATGGACAATGACTGTATTTTCCTCATGTTCTCCGTTCTAGTGAAACCACCTGGTTTTTGAAGTTCCTAGGAGTCTAGTTTTTTCAGAATCTCCCAGAATAGAAAGTTCTCTGTGGGAGTGGGACCTTAATCTCAGTCACATTGTAGGAGGCTGGTTTAGCTGTGGAATTTTCTTAGGAACTCAAGCTTCCCAAAACATCCATGTAGTCATAGTTGGGAGAAAAGGAAATAAGAATGACAAAATTTATTTTTTATATTCATTAATAAATGCTGTTGAGATGATCTGTCATATAACATGTCAACTTTTGTTTTGGTTTGTTTTGATTTTTGCCAATTTTGTTATTTAATTTCTGAAAAACTAAATAAACATCATTTTTATTTTTTAGTTTCAGCCTTTGCCCCCAATTTGTTGCCTCTTAAATCATTTAACACATTTCACTTTCACATTGCTGAAACATTTTCATTCCAAAATTGAAATTTATTAAACAGGCATTTGCTACAGGAAAATGAATCTCAAACACCAAACTTTGTCTGCAACATCCAACTCTGGATAAGCAAGGATGGACACCATCAACTTAGAAATGATTTATAGTTGGACTCCTGGGTTCAAGATACTAATGCCTTTGTCTCTTTCTATTGTTTGATTTGTATTGTTTGCACTGCACATTATGTGTTTCAGAGTTCACAAGGAATGAGGGACCATACTTTTCCAAAGTGTGTCTAAGCTCATAAATCTTAAAATCTGAAGTGATTGACCTCAAGTAACCCCCACAGTCCTGTGGTGACTTTTCCTTTGAAGGCTCCACCATTTACCCTGATGAACTGCAGTAGGAGCAGAAATAAAAGATGAATTGTACCATCTTTGTTTGGTGCCTGAACAGTCTTGTCACTAAGATACCTGCATTGATGTGAAGGCGGGGAATGTGAGGTAGGGACTCTGGAGAATCAGGCAGCAAAACCCAAGCAGAGGGAGCATTTATCCTTAGGTAGAGGAAAAAAACATTCCTCTTACCTTTTATTTGACCTTTGCAAGGTTTTTATAAAGTGAACTTTATTTGGTTTTTGTTTTAAGTTTTTCCTGATTTATTGCCTTTGTGCTATGGCATTTCTTTACGGGCTTAGAAAGAATCACAGCATCTTTAATGAATTGTACTTTCAAAACTGCAAGTGGTGTCATTGTAAATATCTTACCCTATGGTCCAGTCTTTTAACTATGGAAAATTTCATATATATACAGAAGTAAAGAGGTTAGTGTGACCTTTTCTCCCATGTACTTATCATCCAGCTTCAAATAATTATCAAGTCATACAGTCTTGTTTCATCTGTATCTCCACCACTCACCTGGATTATTTTGAAGCAGATCCCATCAAACTACTTCATCCATGAATACTTGAGTATGGAACCTTAGTTTAAAAAAATTTAACCACAGTACTATTATCACATTTAATGAATTTTTTTTTCTGAAGAGTTCCCAGTCTCCATCTCACCAATTACATCTTTGTGATATCATATCCTTCTGTTTCCATACTTCTTTAGTTTAGTGGTTCAACAGCTGTGCCATCCAATATGATAGTCACATATGCTAGTAAGCACTTGAAATGTAACTAGTTTGAATTAAGATAGGGATAATGTATGTGGCTCACATTCTTTCTACTAGGTAACACTGTTCTAGAAGCTTGGTGACATTTTGATTGGAATTTTATGGCAAGACTACTTTACATACATGGTATGTACTTCATTTAGCAGGTTCTACTGTCTGTCCCATTGGGCTGTTAGCAGCCACTAATAAGACCTAGATTCATTAATTCATTAGGGGTGGGAAAATAGTAGTAATTTAATTCTGTCATTCTTCAATTATTAACTGGAATACTAAAAAGAGAAACTTCCCCTCATCAACTATTTGGTTATCCTTGAGTATAATTTGTATAGGAAAGCAAGAGATAAATAAATACTTAATTCTTTTTATTTACAGATTCATAAAATAACGAATTGGTTTTTAACATCCCCCAAAGGTAGCCAGTGATTTTTGTTTTGCACATTTGTTGTTGTTGTGGGGTGGGGGGTGCTGGGATTAAACCTGGGACCTTTCATATGCCAGGCAAGTGTTCTACAACTGAGTTGCACCCACTGCCCAAGTTTTGTTTTTAAGTATCTTTATGAATTTGGACCTAAACATTTTTCTTTAAAAACCATCAAACCATTGTTGTTATCTTTATTGCTTGCCCCATCTTTTGGACAGTAGGAGGCTCTTCAACTCCTACTGAGTTCCCATACATTCCAGTATTCTGTTTTAAATTTATCTTGTACCATCTGCCACCTCAGACCTGGAGTCAGTGATTTTTTTCTAGTGAGTTCTGGTTCTTCTTTAGAAGAAAAAGTATTTATAGATCATAACCTTCATGTTAGGGGTGCTTATTGTTATTGCTTCCCATTTAGAGTCATTTCTTATTCTTTTTAGTCAACAGAATTTGGAACTACATTGCTGTTGAGCCTTCAGCCTTTTTGAAATCATGTCATTTTTATACTTTTACCTGAATTCTCTATAGATTGAACATGAATGGATAAAAATAGAGAAACCATTCAATGACTAATCAGAAAGTCAACCAATTACTTGTTGATTCATCATATCATATATGCAAGCATACTTTTCTTTTTTTCCTTTTCTTTTGCATGGTTCTGGAGTTGAACCTAGGTCCTCTTTCTCACAAGCTAGGCAAGTGTTCTACAACTGAGCTACGTCCCCAGCCCTGCAAGCATACTTTTATTTCCTAGAAGTGTCATCCCTGGACTTGTGAAGAACTCTGACAAAAACAAAAACATTTACTTTTAAGAAATGATATAAACATAGGGAAGAAAGCTATGAGAGAAAGAAAATACATTAAATACTAAGAGTATTCCACCCAAGTGGCTGAGTTTATGTTGTCGAAGAATTTTCTGCTATAAGCCAACCAATCACTCTAAAACCAAGCTTCTGTGACCATGTGACTTTTGTAACAAGAAGCTTAGCTAAGATTATGCCATCTGTTGTAGCAGTTCACTTCTACATGTTTTGTTCACAAAGAAGCTCTCCTGGGAATTCCAAGGTAAGTCCAAACTATATCTTGTTCCATTGAAATAAGAGTAAAATTCAGTAGATTAAAGGAATGTGAATGCTGTGAAGTATTAGTAGTGATTTATTTTAGGGAACAAATTAAATGACACATTTCCAACTAACTTTTTTTAATGTTTTGAGCCAATAAATTACCATATAAGGAGCTTGTTACTTTGTGTGTATTGGTATTGTAGTTCCTAACTTGCCACATCTGGTCACCTATGAAGAATTTGTTTTGCCTTTTGGAATAAACTGATTTCTCAACAGTCTCTGAAACTAAGATCACGATCTTTGAAGCAAAGTGGTGTTAGAATGCATAACATTGTTAAATTCATGTTTGTCAGAATCAGGATACCAGAATTTGTGTTCTTGGAATATGATTTTTTAAATTTCCCATTTTCTGGGTACTGTATTAGATGCTTCAAACATTAAAAAGGAGCAGACATATAGGATTCATGCCTTCCTGGAATCTGAATATAAAGTAGAGAATGTAAAGTTTTAATAATTGTACAGATAGTTAGAGTCATTAGTTACAATTATGATTATGCTACAAGGAATAGTACTTAGTAATTGATTTATAGTTTTCATTATCCAAATATTTATTACAAAGTACCCATAGAGGCTAAGCAAAATACCAGATGCTCCCTAACTTCACAGAAAATACAGGTTGTGAGAAAGATATTAATCTAATTATAAAAAAAAATGCACTGAGTACTTTGAAGAAAAGGTATGATTCTAGGAGAATATGAAGTAGAAATTTTTTTCATACATGGTTCTGTAATAAGGAGAAATAACAGAAAAAACTATCATCTAGTAGGGATAAGAATTGTTCCATCTACATATGTATATGCTAGGTCATAAAATATATACTCTGTCACAGTAAAATATATATATTTTTAAATTTATATGTATGGATATATATGCATATATATATATATATATATATATATATATATATAGTGCCACTATATTAATTAGACTTTAAACATTTTATAAAAGCTTTCTTATAAAAGTGATGTTTCAGCTGAACTCTGAAAAATGAACAGCTTTTAATTAGTTGTAGAGAAGAGACAGAGAAGAACACGGCAAGTATTTGGAATAGAATATGCAAAGGTCCTGTGGTGAGTCAAGAGACAATTGGAAATTGAAGGCTATGATGGCTGCAGTAAGATGGGAAAAGAGGGATCAGGGGCTAGAAGTTGCAAGGCTTCTGAAGGAGTTTTTATTCTGAAAGCACCTGGAAATTATTGAAAGCTTTCAAGCAAGTTAGTGGCTTAGTTTTTGTTTTGAAATGATCCTTCTTGCTTCAGCATGTGGAACAAAACCGCAGTAATACAGCATGAGAGGATACATGGGGAACAGTTGTCTAAGTGAAAGAACAGGGGCTGGGGTTCTTATGGTAGCAGTGCAGGAAGCATGAAATGGCTACACTCCAGATTTAAAAGAGAGAACTTGTCACAGGATTTGGCATGGGTAGGAAAGGAGAGGAACATCAGGAATAGATCCTCATTGCCTGGATCAAAGCTACCATACCCTGGAGTGGGGGATGGTCACTTTGGGGGAGGGGAAAGTCAATAGTTCACTTTGCATAAGTTGAGTTTGAGGGACTCTTGAGACATCTTGGGAGAGATGTCTTGTAGCTGGTTGTGTTTATGAGTTTGATCTCAGAAGAGACCTGGAGAATTTGTGAATCATTCGTTGGTAATTAAAGCTATGAGCAAGTGAAGTCACTTAAAAGAGTATAGTAGAGAACTTTAAAACTGCTGTCATGACTAGACAACTCACCACTCTCCACCCAGGCCCATGCTCAGCTCTGCCAAATGGGCACTGGCACATGGACTGGGATATGAGAAATCCTGGATTGTATAGTTTGTTGAAGCGTGCACAGCCTGGCTTTCCTAATGTCTCCACTCCCATTCCCCCACCCCCAGGCCTCTTCAGGGCTTTCTCTGTCACCTACTGAATGGAGCCGGAACTCAACCTAAAGTTCAAAGTCCTCCCCAGGCAGACCAAATCTATCCCTTCAATCTTGGTGCAGACTGCTTCCAGCACAAACTATCTACTTGAATCAAACAACTTGTCACCCACTCCCTCTGCCCTGCAGCTTCCTGTCTCTGCTCCCTGGCTCAAGCTGTTCCCTGGAATCTCACTCTCCATCTCTCTCCTAATCACAGGCTGTTCTCCAACCTTCTGGGGTCCAGATCAAAGCCGGTTGCTTTCCTAAAGCTTCCCAAGCCCCATAAGGACTAGAACACTCCCCTTCCAGAGGCACTCCCTTGTGCGGGGTCCTGGTAAGCCCTGAAATTGTTACCTAACCATTTATATCTCTTATTTTGTATTTAGCAAGGTGACCCTCATTTTAGACTATGTTCTAACTAGATCATATCTCAGCTCTTGCCATTCTTAAGAGAGATATTCCCAGAATCCTTTAACTCTTAAGTTACCCTGGAAGCAAGTGTATAGTAGATTAGAGAAGACCTATTAGGATGCAGATGCTGGGTCAAAGATGGGGAAGAAGGCTGCCCTCTACCTGCTAAGTGGACAGTACATTCCCTCTGAGCCTCAATAGAACTATTGGTCTTCCCATAGTTCAGAATTCAAGTGATAACTGAAAGTGTGAATGATAAATCTGAGAATGCCAAAACTTGCTGAATTTTCCATGTCTCCTTTTACACTGTTGTACCTCAGAAGTGCCCTGTGAGAACTAGCTGACAGGGCAGATGGGTTACTGGTTACCTGAGGACCTGCCTGGTCCTGTTCGATGGAGGCAGCATGAGGAGCGGCCTCTGCTGTGCCGGGGCGCTGGCTCAAAGCATGGAGTGAATGAGTCATATAGAGGAAGACACTGGCAAGAATGGACAGATGGGGGAGGAGATGAGGGGATTAAAGGATTTGCCCACCTGCCCTCAATTGACCTGTCTGCACTCAGATTACCCACCCACCCTACCTCTCTACATGGTGCTCTGCTGTAGGGAACAGCATGACCGCACAGTGACCCTAAACAGCAGGGTTTTGCGTCATCCTGGCAGGGATGACAGATTGTGTTGAGCCAGAGGCACTCTCTGGTGCAAGTTCCCTAATAATCCCTGATTGTTTGCAAAATGCCAGAGTGTCTTTAGGAGTCTAGATTTATATTATAGGTAGTTGTGAGCTTAAATTCTGTGTGAATTAGGTTTTTTTTTTTTTTTTTTAATTGCAAGGCAGCAGACTCAATATTTAATCCCTGGCTCTTGTATTGTTAAACTAAGTACAGATACTACACTTAGGCAAAAGACCTAGAAATGATATGTGAATGAGCTTTTAATTCTGGATAAGTTGTTTAACCTCATAAATCGTCAGTTATGTGCAAAGTAAACAATGAGATACCACTACACACACACAACAATGAATGGTTAAAGTAAAAAGCCTGACAATTTCAGGTGTCACTGAGAATGTGATCATCTGTAACTCTCATGCACTGTTGCTATGAAAGTCAAGTAGAATTGGTCCATTTCTAATGAAATGTTTTAAAGATGCTATTTAAGTTGAGCACAGTGGTGCATACCTGTAACCCCAGCGACTCTGGAGGCTGACCAAGGAACATCACAAGTTGGAGGCCAGCCTTGGTAATTTAGCAAGACTGTCTTAAAATAAAAATTTTAAAAAGGGCTGTGGAGTTGTAGCTCAGTGGTAGAGCACCCCTGGTTTCAATCCCTAGTAACACACACACACACACACACACACACACACATTTGGTTTGGGGGATTGAACCCAGGGCCTTGTGCATGCAAAGCAAGCACTCTACCAACTTAGCTATATCCCTAGCCTCAGAGATATATTTGAAACATTGACCTCATACCCAATGACCTTGATGAATTATGTTACTAATTCTAAGAGTTTTATTCACAGATTATTTTTGATTTTCTCATATAATTATGTCATCCATAAACAATGGTTGCTTGCTTTCTTTCTTTCCAATTGTTACACTCCCACAAAATAGTGCCTGTAGTGCAATATTAAATAGACTTGATGGGGACTCTCTTGTATCATTTCCAGTATTGGGGATGTCCTTTTGAATCTCATCATTAAGTAGGATGTTTGCTATAGATGTTTTAGAGATATTCTTTATTAGATTAAGGAAATGACAGTCTTCCTAAATTTATAAGGGTTAGTTGCTTAAAATCACAAATGGATATTAATTTTATGAAGTATTTTTTCTGGATCCATGGAGATATAAAATTATATTACTTTGATCTTTATTAATATTTATCTGTATTCCTATTGATTAATTTTGGAATGTTAAACCAATCTGTCATTTCAAGAATAAATTCAGCTTGACATTGTTGTATGATTCTTTCCATAATTATTTTTGTTAAGATTTTTGCATCTTGGTTCATGAGAGAGTGCCATCTAATTTTCTTGTCAAGTTTGGCATAAAGGTTTTATTCAATTATAATGAATTAGGAAATATTCTTTATTTTCTTCTTCTTGCAAGAGTTTGTGTAATTTGGTGTAATTTCTTCCTTAAACTTTGGAATGGCAACTCTTTGGATGAAATGCTTTAGAGCTGGTCTTATAGACAATGATATAAAGCATGACTTAGACATGAAATAGTCAATTCTTGGCATGTGAAAATGTTCTTGTTTTTATTTATATCTTCCCATAAGCAGCTCTGGCCAGTTCACCTGTTCTTTTCCAGTTGTGTGTTGCCCAGCTAAGCAACTGTGCAGGAGACTGGTGAGGCTCCTTGAGGTCTGAGCCTGGTCCACAGGACTCTACATTCTTTCTTTCTGACCCCAGGCAGCCTGCCGAACATTGCTGAGCCATCTCCACACTCCTCTGACAGAATGAGTGCCCTCGATGGTGTCCCCTTCAAGGTACCCAAGGGTTTTGTGATCAGCACAGAGCCTCTCCCTGCACCAGAGTTCAGTATCCCTGCCTGCAGGGAGCTTCTGCTGGGTTCTGTGGTAAGTGTGCCTGTCTCTCTAGCTTCTTGTCCCTGGGTCTGAGGCCTGAGAAAGGGCAGCTTGATCTGCTTTTGAATAGTCTGGGAAGCTTGAATTTAATCCAATAGAGGGGGGGAAAAAGTTTCATGAAGAAACTTGGTGGCTAGGTGATGAGGGTTGTTCAGTGGGTCTTGTTTTAAGCTGAGGATACTGAGAGGCTGCTTATATGAAGTGAGGGGCAGTTACTGCAATGGTGCTCCAGTTCCCCTTCTCTACCAACTTGTGGCCATGTCTAAAATTCCACCATTAAAATCACTCTTTTGGGTAAAGACTTATTCTCTGTTATCCTCTTAAAATGCAGACAGTTGCCTAGGGCACATTAGAAGGAATTAGAAGGGAGTGCTATTACACAGACCCATACCTGGAGGTGGCCTAGAAGGACCTCATGCCCCTGGTTCACATCCCTAGATTACACCTTGCTAGGTACACATTCCCAGGGTATATGGTGGTATTAAAGAGCTGTGGAGCTAGCCTGGATCCCCTGGGGCCTGGGCTCACAGACTTGGTGCTCTACTATCTGCAGGAGTGTTTACAGAAAAGTTTGAAGGTCTGGTTTGGCTCTCGCTCATTTTACACATGAGAAACCTGATGTTTAGAGAAGGGGGATATTTATTCACAGTTATTGGTAGTGATAATATGAAAATCCAGGTCCTGACTCCAGGTAATTTCATATTAGCTAAGAGTAGAACTTGGAATGAGATATAAGATACCAGTTGGGGAAGGCAAAAACTGGGGCGAAGGGTTGTTGCAGGGAATTCAGGAGCATAGAGCACAGTCCTGGGGAAAATCAGGTAAAGAGGTTGAGTGACCTCGAGGCACAGGAGAAGACCCAGTGTGAACTTGCTTCCTCTGTAGATCCAGGAATCACAGGCTCATCAGAATCAAGGTTTACAGCTGGAAGTGGTGCCACATGCCTATTATCCCGACAGCTTAGGAGGCTGAGGCAGGAGAATTGCAAGTTCAAAGCCAGCCTCAGCAACTTAGCAAGGCGCTCAGCAACTTAACAAGACTGTCTCAAAATACAAAATAAAAAGAGCTGGGGTGTGGCTCAGTGGTTGTAAAGCCCAGAGCACAGTGTCTATGGGATACATGCTGCTCTGTGTAGCAGGTGCTCTGGCTCTCCCCTAACAGCCAGTGCTGCCTGTCTTCTCTTTGTGTTGTTGAGAACAGGAATTTACTTTACCAACCCTGCAATGGAGGTAGATTGTCACAGTTTTTCCCTCCTGCTCAGCTCTAACCACACTGAGAAGAAGTTGTTCTGAAGCTTCCCTCTCTGGAAGCCCTTTTCCTTCTGTATGTGTGTGGTATATAGTGGTTATAGTAGTAGTCATTTAGAATTATCTTTCCTTTTATGGTTTTGACCACCTGAAATTATAAAGGATTTCTCTTCTGTTTCTCCTAGTACTTTCTCGTGTCATATCATATATTTGAATCCTTTTTGGAATTCATCTTTAGACTGAGAATGAATCCAACTTTATTTTTTCCAGCTAGCTAACACAATTTATTGACTACATCTCCTTTTCCTACTGCTTGACTATCTCTCCTTTTCCTACTGCCACCTTTATTACTTTTTAAAGCCCCATATATATTATGATTTATGTCTGGATTTTCTATTATGTACCTTCAATCTGTTTGGGATAGTGCCATAGTTTAATTATCGAGAACTGGTAAAGCCAGGTCTCAGTTCTCCTTATTTATATTTTTGTTACCAGAGTTTTTATAGCTATTTTTATTTGTTTGTCTTTCATATTAAATTTAGAATTATAGTGTGGCATTTCAGAATAAAAAAATGTTGGTATTTTATTGGGTCTTTTATCCCTCTAAGTCCCACTGACTGTCTCTTTATCTCTCAGTCTTTTTCTCTCCAAGTACGCCTCAGTTATGAAATTGCCTTTTTCCTTCCTCTGTCTTTTATAACCTACCTGTTTTTGCTCAAATCTGCTTTTTCTAACCATTTATTCTGCACATGCCTATAAATATCCACTCTGTGCCTGGCCTGCCCCGGGCCTTAAAGATTCAGAGAAAGAAATAAAACCTGGTCCCTGACCTCAATCAGGCAGTCACATTGGAGCTGCTGAGTCAGACTTCTCTCCTCAAGGCAGGGTCATGTCAGTGAGAGAGGCAGTGCCTGTGTTCTGTCCAATATCTGTGTCTTTCTGCCTATCTGCCCCTTCCTCCCTCAAACACTACTTCCCCTAGCCTGTCTCTTCCTCAATTGGCCATGGGAGAGCACTAAAATTGCCCTTTAAAGTTATTTAGCCATTTTTTTTCAGTGCTAGTGATCAAACCCAAGGCCTTGGGCAAGCTAGGTAAGTGCTCTACTACTGAGCTATACCTGCAGCCATACAATTTTTAATGGAGTTTTATGTTTTCTATTCTTAACTTTAAAGGTAAGAAACAGGGCTAGGGCTGTAGCTCAGTGGCAGAGTGTCTGCCTAGCACATGTGAAGCACTGGGTTTAATCCTTAGCATGCCTTTATTTATTTATTTTTATGTGATGCTATCAGTCTACAACTACAGAAAAGAAAGGTAAGAAATAGGAATATTCTCATTTTTTAATTCAGTTATAAATTGAATCAAAGTTAGAATAATTATATAGATTCCAGATTGCTTTCGTAGGTGGCCTAATAGTCAGTGGGGTGAGCACTACAGTCAGGTAGATCGAAACACAAGTTCAACACCCATCTATCTGTCCACATCTGTCATCTATCTGTCCATAGCAAATTAAAAAAATTAAGTCTTGTTGTGTGTACTGGCACATGCCTATAATCCCAGTGACTTGGGAACCTGAGATAGGAGGATCCAAAGTTCAAGGCCAGCCTCTCAGCAATTTAGCAAGGTCCTAAGAAATTTAGGGAGACTTTGTCTCAATATAAAAAGTAAATAGGGTTGAGAATATAGTTCAGGGTTAAAGCACCCCTGCATTCAATCCCCAGTACAAAAAAAAAAATTATGAGCCTCATTTTCATAATCTGGAACAAGGAATGATACCTGACCTACTAGTTAAATTCAACAAAGGTTAGATTATATATTTCCTGGTCCCCAGGGTATCCCTGGATGAGAGCAAAGTGGGTATAGGGCAGATATTAACTGCTCCATAGGGAGGTTTGTCTGATGAATGGGCCTCCAAGGCTGACTGTTCAGTGGCAAACTGCTGGGCTCTGGTGAACACTTCTTTGTGAAGAACGAGTTTTATTGGATTTTTTTTTTCTGAACTAGAGATTGAACCCAAGAGTGCTCTACCACTGAGCTATATCCCCAGCCTTTTTAATTTTTTTTTTTTTTTTTTTTTTTTGAGATGGGGTCTTGCTACATTGTTAAACCTGACCTCAAACTTTGGAACCCCTTGCTTCAGTCTCCCAAGTAGCTGGGATTACAAGCATGACCCATTGCACCCAGTTATTTGAGAGATTTTTAATGTAGTTAGCAATGACATACTGAATGGCAAAGGGTTTTAGATGTTGCATTTCATTCTATTCAATCATTTCTCATTCTGCTCTTTATGCCAGAGCTTGCCAATAAACTGTTACCGGTATCCATTTGCCCCAGTGTTAGCTAAAACTATTGGTGGGAGTGGGCTGTGTAGGATGCCCAGGACTCCGAATCAGAAGCTGTCCAGACCTGGTAAGTCTTTGGCTCATCAGGGTCCCCAGGCCAGCCATTAGGGCGCCTCCCAAGGTCCTTGTTTGCCCCATCTGGACCTCACAAAACCTTCTCTCAGCAGCATGACTTCAGCCTGGAAAGGAACACTCTTTTCTGGGTGGAGGCTGCCATCCGAGGACCCTGCTCGTACCAGTGCAATGATCTGAGGACTGTGTCAGCCCCTCCGGCCTGGCTCTTGCTGGTCAGTCCCGAAAGTGGGCTGGCATTTGCGCCTGGCACAGCCAGAGACGAAGAGGATGGACCCCAGGAGCCGCTCGAGGAAGAGGAGAACGAGGAAGAAAGCTTCTCTGCCAGCGAGGAAGAGCTGGACTCCAGCAGCCCGCAGCCCGGTTCTCTAGGGCGCCCTGGCTCCAGCCATGGCCTGCGCTCCCTGGATGTGCTGCGCAGCGTGAGGTCCGAGCTGGCTGGGGCGCGGCGGCGGCTCTCTGAGAGCAGGTTGGCTGCCTGTCCCCGCGCGCTCCTGCACCGCTTTCGCGGTCACCGGGCGCTGAGCCTGTGCCCCTCACCGCCACCCGGGCCTGCACCCCAGCTCCCCAACGTCCCTGCACCCCAGCCCCCCAACGCCCCCGCGCTGCCCCCACGGCCCTCGACAGCTGGCTCCATGCCCCCACTGCGGAGCCACAAGCCCACTGTTGCGGTAAGGACTGCCTGCTCCACCAGGGCCTCTGCTGGCCAGCCTCACCTCTGCAATTTCAGCTCCTTCCTCCCCGTGCTCCTTCCTTCTTAGCTTTACCTGTTCCCATCTGGCCCCTGTGTGCGGCCCTTCTGGCCATTTACCTAGAATATTCTCTGCTTAGCGGAACCCGTTCTGTTTCCCTGCTCTGTCTGCTTTGCCTCTATTGGGGCACATTTCATGATGATTGTAATTACTGGTACCTGTCTGTTTCCTTGGGTGGAATGAGTTCTTCTTTTAAGGCAGGGATCAGATGGCATTCATTTTTGTTTCCAGGGCATCTAGCAGCAGATTTGACCCATAGAGGGTTTTTAATGAATGTTGAATTGCCTTAATGAAGGAGACACAATTCTAAGGCCTCCCATGGATGAATTTTACTGTAGACTGGGTAAGCTGGAGGCTCAATCAAGGGATAGTCACTGTAGTAACTTCCTGCCAAACACTGGGTTGGGAGAGATAAGATCCAAACCACAGGACATAGAGAGTTGGTCAACGGGGTGTGGACAAGGCCAAGCCCTGTATAGTAGGATAAGGTGTTGAGAGACAGAGAGGGCTTCTGAAGGATGGTAAGGCTTCAGGCGGAAATAGTGAGCTGGGCAGAACCCGGAGGAGAGGCAAACTTATGGTGAGGCCAAAGAAGCTTCATCCTTGGAACCTTTACTCTGTCCCTTCCAAGGCCTTATACCCAATTTCATGTTCTTCATTAAATGTTCTTTTTCTTTAAGAAGTCCTCTCCAAATTGTTTTAAGTTATCAGACTCCACAAAACCTAGATCCAGAGCAGATGAGTTAGATCAAGAATTGGTAGCAGAGAGTAGCACTTAAGCACAGCTTTCTGCCAGTCAAGCCAGGAGATGCTGCAGAATGAGGCCAATGAGGTCTAGAACAGCCATGTAGGGAGGATGGGGTAGATATTCTGTTGATGAGGAAACAAAGACAAGAGTAGACTCTTCTCCTAAAATGTGGATCTCCACCCTTGAGGTAAACAGTAGTCCCTAGAGTGGGGTCATATTAGGGAAACCCAAGAAGAAGGGGACAGATGGGTGGGGAATTCCTACACCCCACGTACACTTGGCCCCAGGAGCTAGAGCGGCAGCTAGTCTTTCCTTGGAAGATAGAACTAGGGTGCTGTGTTCAGGGCTAGCAGAGGAGTTCTACTGTGTGGAGAAGGGGTGCTGGCAAACCAGCTGAAATGCCTTCAAGTCACCTTCCTTAGTCCAGCATTTGTGTGAGTCTCTCAAGCACAACTGAGGGGTTGGTGTGCCCAGTTCCTACCCTACCATACACCCTGCCAGACCCCAGCCCAGATGAACTCAAGAAGGAGAGTCTGGCTAGGAAGATCTTTTCCTGCCCCATGAGGTAAAGAACCTCTGAGTAGGGTTCAGCTCCCAAATGTGTGTTGTGTATCAGGGTCATTAACTTCTCTGAACCTTGACTTCAATATCTGTAAAAAAAGATAGCAGGGTGGACATATTATATTCCTTTCCTTTCCTTCCCTTTATTCTTGAGTTAGAGCCTCACTAGGTTGCCCAGGCTGGTTTCAAATTCCTGGGCTCAAATGATCCTCCTGCCTTAGTCTCCTGAGTAGCTGGGACTCCAGGAGTGCACCATAGCACCTGGATACCTATCATATTTCTTTTGCAGGGTATTCTAAGTAATAAGTATTAGCCTTCACTGACAGTTTCTGTATGCCAGGCCCCTTTGCTGATCCCTTTATGCCAGGCCCCTTTGCTGATCCCTTTGTTCATGTTGTCTTATTTAAGCCTCGTTACAACCCTGTGAGGTACTTTTGAGATTGCCTCCATTTTACATTTAAATAAAGTGAGTAGACAGTGGGGAGCTGGGGTCTTCTGGGCTCTAACCCCCCCCACACACACCCCCCATGCTAACTCCTACACTAGGTATAGAAAGTGGTACACAAAGGCACTTTTAAAATGTCCAGCCCAGCCAGGTGTCACCTCCTTTGGTAACTGACATGCCAGCCTCTCTGTATTTCAGTCTCTCAGTCCGTACACCTGCCTGCCACCCCTGAGGGGAACACCCCAGCCTCTCAACTCCCATAGATCGCACCCTGATTCTACAGCTGACCTGCTGTCTGCACTGAGCCAGGAGGAGCAGGACCTCATAGGGCCAGTGATTGCCCTGGGATATCCCCTGGGAAGGGCCATTGAGGCTCTACAGAAGACAGGGAGACAGAGCCTGAGCCAGGTAAGTGAGGGACCCAGAACTGAGGGGCTGTGAAGCTGGAGCCAAGTGAGTGGCCATGTGGTTTTGTATCTTGAATATGTTTTGAACCTCAACCTGGTATTAATTATTGGGGTTGTGAGCAAACCTCTAGTTCCTATGCTACCTCCTCCATAGGAGTTATCTTCACACCTACTCGGGGAATCTCAGTATTCTACTCCTGTCTAGCTCTTGCCCTAAATACAGGAACTGGAGCTTCGTGTAGTCAAGAATCTTTCTAGAATAGTCCAGTAGAACTTTATCTAATGAGAGATGTTTTTATCTGTGTTGTTCAATATAATAGCCACTAGCCTACTTCATTACATTCAATGTGGCTAGTGTGATTGAGAAACTAATTTAAAATTTTCTAAAATTGTAATTAAATTTAAATCCAAATAGCTACATATTTAGTGACTTGGAGGGCACAGCTCTAACCACTTTCCTCAATGAATAGTTTATCAATACCCACATCCATTTCTCCACATCCTTCCATCTGGCCAAGAGTATTTATTATTTATTTTTTAAATTGATTTTCAAAAAATAAATGACAGTGGAATGCATTACAATTCTTATTACACATATACAGCACAATTTTTCATATCTTTGGTTGTATATAAAGTATGTTGACTGGCCAAGAGTATTTATTGTGCACTTTTTGGATATACATATGTAGCTGGGAGCTATAGGAAAAACCAAGGTACATAAAAACCAGTGCTGTGGGTTGGGTTCCCCAGGAAGCAGAGTCAGATGAAGTTTGGCATGTAGGATGCTTATTAAGGAGGTCCTTGGGACCAGCTGCTATGGAAGGGAGGGGACAGAAGCAGAAGTGGCAGAGGAAGAAGAGCTGTAATGTAGGACCAGAAATAGCATCAGCTAATCCCACAGCTCTGGAACCTCTCTGGCCCCTCAGAGTTGCCTAAGTGAGGCTGATATGACCAGGCTTTCTACCCCTACTTCAGGCAGTCTTTGTTCATGGGAAGGGTGTGACGTGAGAGACATGGATCTCAACAGCTTAGGCAGTCCTTGAGGGTGTCTCCTATCCCTCCCAGCCTCTGGGGTAATGAGTCCTTCAGTAAAGGGCCTCTGGAAGGTGCATCAGAGTTTACCACCACCAGATTCTATTTTCAAAGAGTACTCTTATTGCTAGAATTATGGACACTCAGTGATGGCACTCAAAGGGTAGCACTTCAATCTTCTGTAGTTTGGGGAAGTAGGTCTTGACTCCCAATAGAAGCCAAGAATGTGAGAGCACCTGCAAAGGAGTGAGGATCCCCAAAGTACCTAAAAAGAGCTGCTGGTTACAAGATGCCTGGGAGCATAACGGGCATGTATAAGTGCTGCGGAGTATTTCTGTCATCTGCTGCTGTGCAACAAACCGCCTGAACCTTAGTGCCTTAATCAACAACCATGAATTTGCTTATGAGATTCTGTGGGTTGGCAGTTTGAAGTTGGACTCAGCTAGGTGATCTTCTGTTGGTCTCATCTTGATCTCTCTTGTGGCCATAGTGTAGTGACTTCGTTGGGGCCAAATAGCTTAAGATGGGCTTGTTCCCAGTCCAGAGGTTGGTGTCAATTGTCAACTGGACTACACACATCCGACAAGCTAGCTCACTTGGTTCCAAGAGTGAAAACTTCAGGGCCTCCTGAGGCCTGGGCTGGAATTGTACATAGTCACTTCTATCTTATTCTGTTGGCCAAAGCATGTCATAGACTAGCCCAGATATAAAGGTAGAAAAATAAACTCCCTCTTGATGGGAAGAACACCCCAAAATTTATGGTTATTCTCAGTCTACCACAAGGAGGTTCTAGTGAGTAGGAAAAGCTTCATGAAGGGACCACACATGGAACAGGACTTCCAAGTCTAGATAAGACCTGGCTTTGAAATAAGGAGAAGAGTAATAGGGATAGTGTGAGCAAAGGAGTTAGAGGCAGAAAGGAAGTGTGCAGGAGATCTGATCCAGTTCGTCTTGCTGGAGAAGATGCATGAGGCAGGCTGGTGGGAGATAAGACAGGGAAGGGGAGTTGGGACAGGTTGAGGGTACTTTGAAAACTGGGCTGAGACTTTTATAATAACCTAGTAGGCAAAAGGGAATCATAGAAAGATTATGAGTGAGGACAGGAGGTGGCATTGAATGCTATTGTCTGTACCCCTATTGTAGCATCTCCGTTGTATTTTCTAAATATCGGGGCTCTTCATGGCTAGAAAACTGGTCACAGGGAAGTTGGCACTTATTCCTTTTTCTCCTGTCTCCACCCCACCACTGCCAGAGGACTTGAACTCCTTCTCCTCCTTCTTCTCCTTCTCCTCCTCCTCCTCCTTCTCCTTCTTTTTTGGTACTGGGGATTGAACCCAGGGGTATTTAACCACTGAGTCACATTCCCAGCCCTTTTTATATTTTATTTTGAGACAGGGTCTCGCTGAGCGCCTCACGAAGTTGCTAAGGCTGGCTTTGAAACTGTGATCCTCCTGCCTCAGTCTCCTGAGCTGCTAGGATTTCAGGCATGTGCCACTTCCTTCACCTCCTCCTTCTCCTTCTTCTTCTTTTTTAATTTGTTTGTTGTAGATGGACACAATACCTTTATTTTGTTTATTCATTTTTATGTGGTGCTGAGAATTGAACCCAGTGCCTCACACATGCTAGGCAAGCACTCTACCATCGAGCTACATCTCCAGCCCCTACACCTTCTTCTTAATCACTGATGACTGCAGAATAGTGAGTGGGTCCCTGAGGTTCAAGACTCAGGCCTGCTCCTGGGTGAGGGAGTGACAGGAGAGTGATTCTTAAACAGGAGCCAGAGCAAAATGTGCTGCTGCCAGGTTGGGAAAGTGGGGAAATGCTCCTGATGTTCTTCCCAACCCACTCCTGCTTTTTCTCTACCCTGGGTTCATAAGTCTATGCCCTATCTGGAGGAACACTTTCAACATGGTGACCCCCATGCTAGCTAAACTGGGTGGGGAGGAGGGGTTACTAACAGATTTTTAATACTTTCTTTGCACTGGTCCCTTAATCTGAAAGTCTTCAGTTAGGTCTCAATTCTACAAAGTTATTATGCTATTACTGTCCTAGGCATTTTGCAGATGAGGAAACTGAGTCCAGGGGGTTCAATAGCCTGTCAACGGCAACAGAAGTGTTGAGGTCAGGTTGTCCTGATTCTGAATCTTTGTTGGACAGTGCTTTTCTTTCATTCTCTATGTGAAAACCTCCTAGGACAGCAACCTTGTCTTATCTGAGATTTAAGAGCATATCTAAAGTGGCCCCTACCCTTAGCTGACCTTGGCCAAGAAGCTGGATAGGAGGGCTGTGAGGTTCAGGCCCATAGTTGGGCTTTGACATGCCTCCTCAGTCCCTTTGCCCACTGTGACAAGGCTGAGGTCTCAGCCCATCATTGTGGAATTCTGAAGATTAGTCAGAGCCAACACAGGGCACTGGCCTCCCAATGTGTTGGGTTTAGATCCTTCTCCCCTTGAAAGGAAGGAGAGCATCAGATGATGGAGATAGTACACTTAGAAGAGTCAGGAAGAGGAGATATAAGAGGAGATTCAAAAGATAAGCTCTGTGGTCTGGGGTTGTAGCTTAGTGGTAGAGTGCTCTCCTAGCATGTGTGAGGCACTGGGTTCAATTCTCAGCATCTCATATAAATAAATAAATTAATTAAAGGTCCATTGACAACCCAAAAAATTTTTTTTAAAGGATAAGCTCTGTGGGCTGGGGTTGTGGCTCAGTGGTAGAGCTCTTGCCTAGCATGCATGAGACGCTGGGTTCAAACCTCAGCACCACATAAAAATATAATAATAATCAAAAAATAAAAATATTGTGCCCACCTATAACTAAAAAATAAATATTTAAAAAAAAATAAATAAAAGATAAGCTCTGTGCCTCTCTCCTTCCTTTTACAGATATGATGTGCCCAAAGGACAGGCTTGAGCAGCATGTGTAAGGGTCCAGGGTCCAAGCTCAGAACTTGCTATAGGACTCCAGACACACCAAGCTCCCTTTTTTGTGCTTCCCTGTTTATAGGACAGAGGAGGAATAAGTATGTGTTTGGAACCAATGACTTCTGGAAAACCCATCCTGGGGTCTGAAGGTGACATTTAACCTAGGGCCTCAGGCAAGCTTGGTACCCTCTACAGTCCCATAGACCCAAAAGCTGACCAAGCAGCAGAATCTTTAAAGTGCAGACCCCCAGGCCCTGTCCTGAAGAGCCCTGATCTATCTGGACCAAACCCAAGAACCTATAATTTTAGAAGATCTGCAGATGGTCTAGGTATGCAGCCTGGCATGGTGTGGAGGTGGTCAGCTGTCCCTTCAGCCAGTGATTCTTAACTTTGGCTGCACATTAGAATCACCTGGAGAACTATAAATACATCCCAGTGTCCAGGTTACGCCTCAGATCAAATATACTGGAGCCTCTGGTGAGGCCCAGGCACCAGTAATTTCCAAAATTCCCAGGGTGGTTGTAATGAGCACCAAGGCTGAGAATCATTGCTATGGGCAAGCCAAAAGGTAAAGGGAGCATCCACCATCTGCCCTTGCCTTTGCCCTCCCACCTTCTGAAGGTGAAGTTTTCTTCAGAACCCCTGTCCACTGCCAAGCTACCTCAAAGCTTTTCCTCTAGCAACCAATCTCCTTCTCAGACAAGAGGTCAAGTTATCCTGGAACCCTGGGCAAACCACCTGCCCTGCCTTGACCTGTTTCCCCAGTTGTGAAAGGCAGCCTTGAGTGTGTGATTTTCCAAATGTGCTCAGAGCGAGGTCTAGACATTCCAAGCAGAACTTCTGGCAGGAGTGCTGGATTCTGGGCTCCCATGGCCTTTGCCCTCTGTTCTTCCAGGCAGCTCTGATCTTAGCTTATTATTGAAGCCTCATATGCTAGGACAAACAACTCAGGAGTGACGACAGTTTGAAAACCATTAGGTTAGATGATCTGCACTTTCTGCCCCACTCTGCAGAAACCCAACCTGCTCCTTCTCGGCATATACTCATAATTCTTGTGGTCTGGAGCCTTCGTTTGACACCTACTCCCTATAAATCCTGCTTTGATTTGCCTGGCACTGATGTTGTCCTGTGTCTGGTTTATCTCCCCCACTAAGCTGTGAGTTCCTTGAAGGGTAGTTCTTAATTCAGTTTATAAACATAGCATATATTTATTGAGCTCCTTCTGCCGCCATGCTGGTGCTGGAGACCCAGTGAACAGAACTGCCCAACCTCTCCCTGTGGAGCAAAAAGCGAGTGGGTAAGGAAGATTAAGTGAAGCAATTACAAAGTTGTATGTGCTGTGCCAGGGAGCACAGGGTGGTCTGGGCGCACTAGAGATGGCACCCAGTGAAGACAGAGGTGGCAGAGAAGCTTCCCCAGGAGAGCACTGAGGCTTGCATTAGCTGGGGGAGCCAGACAGGCAGAAGCCTGGAAAATATTGGATGGAACTGAGCCCTAGTAAAGAGGCAGCACTTTATCCTAAGAGTAAAAGTAGCCCCTGGTGACTTAGGCAGGGAGTGACTGGAGCAGGTGTGCAGCCCTGTGGGATCCTCCTCTCCCTACCACCCCTCCCTCTGGTTCTGGTGCAGGACTGTTAAGCCTCAAGGAGCTCTGGATGGCAGAGATGTGTCTGGGGTAGGGTGGTTATGCATAGGTGTATATGGCTGAGGAGACTCCTTCTCCAAGGAGGGTGGGCAGGCTGGGGTGAGTGGTGCACATGTGCAGGATTGCCTAGGGGTGGCAGGTGAGATGCCCATCTGAGGCGTGTCGTGGTCCCCACTTAGGTTCTGTGAACATCTTAGCCCACTCTGAAAGTCCTTTTCCTGGATTCCAGCCCCCAACTTGGGACAGCCAGTGAGGTGAAGACCCATTGTCCACCTGTCCCCAGGTCCTTTTTTCCTCTTCTATTAGCCCATGGTATCTCTGGGGCCCCATGGGATGTGGTGGGCTCGCCAATCTGCCTAATTCTGAGCTCAGGCCTTAGTGAGGCCCTGGGTGCCTCTACACCTCGTCTGCTGCCTCTGCCTCTCTTATCATCCTTCCCTCTTTGCCTTCTTCCCACCCAGTTTCTCAGCTACCTCGGTGCCCATGAAAGGCTTCTGCAGCAGGGCTACGAGGAGGCCCTGGTGGACGAGGCCATGGAGATGTTCCAGTTCTCTGAGAGCCAGGTCAGCTGGGCCTCCTGCCTGGGCTCTAGGGGCTGGGAGGTATGGGTCACACCAGTTCCCAGAGTAGCCTGTGGGCTGGACAGGAGATAGCCTGTAGCCTCAGTCCAGGGGAGAAAGAGCCAGCCCAGGGAGATGAAGCCGAAGATAGGGGGAGAATCCCGAGATGTGGGGAGGACAACTGGAGGCGAAGAAAAGCAGGGGTTTTGTTTTATTTAGCTGAATCAACACAACAGACATTCGTGAATGCCCATTCTTTGTCAGACACCCAGACAGGAATCAAGGGCCACACAGAGATACTTGAACTCCCCAGAATGCAGGCAGCTGCAGGCCTCACAGAAAATTCTAAGTGCTTGATGAATACTGCTTGCCTCCAACCCTATTCCCAGCCAGAGCACCTGTTCATAGAGGCAGCCAGAGGGACAGAGGTGCTGAGGAGGAAAGGGGTCAGAAGAGGAGGGCAGGCAAGGGCTGCATTATGTGAAACCTCAGCGATGCTGGCGCACCTGGCGCCATTGTGCACCCTTCTTCCTGCCCCAGTACCTGAGCACAGGGGTCAAGGCCAAGTGAGAGGGGAGAGGTGAGGCCGGGCAGAGCCAGTGGCCAGGTCAGAACTTCTTTCCCTGGTAGAAGAAGAGTTGGGAGCCACATCACACTTCCTACACATAGAGGTACAGGAAGACGGCAGATGCTGCCGAGGATTAGGTTCTTCTGGTTTGGGGGGCCACAGCTTTCTGGGATGAGGTGCAGTAGGTACTGGGGAGATGCTTCCAGGGTGTAGTTGGGCCTTGCAGAGCCCCCTCCCATCTCCTCCTCCTCAGGCCGGGGAATTCCTACGCCTCTGGGAGCAGTTCAGCGACATGGGCTTCCAGCCACACCGGATCAAGGAGGTGCTGCTTGTCCATGGCAACCATCACGATCAAGCCCTAGAGGAGCTGGTGGCCTGTGCCCAGTGACCGCTGAGGCATTCTGCAAGGCCTGGGCAACCCCGTCCAGCCTGTTACGAAAACCTAACAAGACTAAGGAAGCCGTGCATTCTCATTGTGTAAACAATGCCAAGGGTGGGAGTTGAAAGCATTGCCCCCTTGCCTCCTGGAAGGGGCAGAGGGGAGAGGGTGGGCAAGGAATCATGTTTTTCATATTTGTATTTGACTCTTCAAACTATGTGCATTAATCACTTTGACTTTGAGAAAATTAAAACAAATAAATCATGGCAGTTCTTTTTTTAATATTTATTTTTTCAGTTTTAGGTGGACACAATATCTCTATTTTACTTTTATGTGGTGCTGAGGATCAAACCCAGAGCCTCATGCATGCTAGGCGAGCGCTCTACCACTGAGCCACAACCCCCAACCCTTGTGGCAGTTCGTTTGAGTCCTGTAGGCTCCTGGTTTTGGTTTGGAAAGAACATCTTAACTGTGGGTTAGAAGCCTTGAGTTCTGATGATGTCTGGAATCAAGGAGTTTTTGAGCCTTAGATTCTCAAGAAAAAGTAGAAAGATTTGACCAGGTCAAAATTTAAAAATTTTCAGACCTAGCTGCTCTCCATAAGGTATTCTGATTCAAAAGGCATAGCTTGGCAGCCATCAGGAATCTGTTTGCTTGCGGGTTTCTTTTTTTCTTGGAGATAGTTCTTTCTGTTATCCAGGCTGATCTTGAACTCCTAGACTCAAGTGATCCTCCCGCCCCGGCCTCCTGAGTAGCTGGGGCTATCGGTGTGTGCTATCATGCCCAGCTTGTTTTGTTTTATGTAAGAAGCCCCCTGGGTATTCTTTACAATGTACTAGGCCCACAGCTAGTGTTTGTGAACCTCCAGAACAGCCACTCTATGCCCTCTGCTCTGACAATCTGGGGTCCTATGTCAGTCTTTCCTCCTTGGGGATAGGGAAGTTGGTACCAGAGTAGCCTCTAGTCACCCCAGGTCTATCCTTTAGAGGTCCTCAAGAATTGAGATGGCCAGTTGCTATAGTGGCCCATGACTCAGGCAAGCAGAGGTCAGAGGCCAAGATGCTGGTGCCCTGCCATCCCAGCTGGCCCACGCAAAAACCTGTGGCAATTACCACAAAATCCAAACCTCCCAGCTTCACTCCACCCTGCAAATGGGGCTGGGCATGGAGCTGAGGTCTGTTAAAAAAAAAAAAAAAGGAAACTTCCACATTTCTCAGTTCATAGAGACACTGTGTTTGAATGTGTAACAGGGACTTCTGCAGGTATACACTGCAGAACTAGAACTCAGGTCTCCTAAGGCTGTCCAGCCCCTTGATGCTTCCTAGTAAGCCTCAATGTCTGCCAACTTGAAATCACATTAAAAATATTCTTTGGTCTTCAAACTTGTTTTGAATAATTTGCAGGCAATACAAAACTATTAGAAAATCTGAAAGATGGCACCAAGTTGGTCATGTGTCTATTGTCCAAAAGAGAACTACACTTGGAAAAGACAGCAAAGTTCAATTTCTAAGATACAATGTTAGCTCCAAAGCTATTTGTGTTCTGATTAACCTGGACTCAGTCCATCACTTTATTAAGTCCCCTGGATTAGAGGTGACTAGTTGGCAGGCCCTCACACATGCCACTATTCCCATCCTTCTTCCACCTGCCCCAAACTTTTCCATCCCTAGAAAACTATTGCTTGATTAAAAATGAAATGGCAATGGGCAAATTTGTTAGTTCAAAATAATTTTTTAGATGATAGAATAATGAAATCACATCTAAGCTGGAACTACATCCTAGATCATTATCTAGTTATGTGACTCTTTGAAATTGTTAAGCACCTGCTCAGCCCTGTGTTAGTCTCTCTGAGATGAGATGATACAACCAGCATTCCAGAAGCTACTTACAGCTAAGTTGATGAGCCAAAACTACAACCAAAGACCCATTCATTCACTGATTCTTCCACCCCACAAACCTTTATTACATACCACACCAACTCAGCCTGCAGTGGGGGAAGGTGGGACAAAGCATGAGAAATGGCCTCTGTCCTGGAGCGGGGCTTTCTGGGGCTGGCCTGGCTTGTGGGTCAGTCAGCAGCTCCTGTGGGCAGGTCAATGCCTGTGCTGGTGATAATGGCAGGCAGGCAGGCTCTGGCTCAATAAGGGCCTCTGAAAGTTATACTTGGCCAGTTCCCTGGTGGAACTGGATCCTGGCCAGACACCCTGGCTGGCTCTATCCCCAGCCCAGCAGTGGGGTACCCACCCCAGCCCAGCCTCCTGGCTCCTAATGGTGGCCCTCCCTCCTGGCCATTCTCCTCCTGAGAGGAGAATAACCTGTCCTTATAAGGCCACCCACTCAAGAGACGTGCATTCTGTGTCCTCTGGGCAGCTGCCCATGTGATGTCATCTGCTGTTTTATTGCTCAAGACTTTTAACCTATGGTTTTATTTTTTTGTCATTAAGAAAATGTTTCCAGGTTGAGCAAAGACATTAACTGGGTGTCAGATGAGGGCAGAAAGATGGAAGGAAGCCAGAGGATTAGGGAGCCAGAGACCCAGGACAGGCCAGCCTGGGGGCATGGCTTAACCACAGATTCCAAATACCCCCAGCAGCCTTAGTATTCCAAGGACTCCAGCAAGCCTCATGCTGACCATTGCCCCTTATTAAGTGACACTCAGTATAGTTGGGAGAATGTCCCCTCCCTCAGATATAGTCATCTTAGTTGTTGTCCAAGTGTCCTGTCATCCTCAGACCAGGGATAGGCACATGTCACATCCACACAGAGCCAGTGGGCCTGGGCCTATAACCTCAGAACCCTGGGGGCACTTGATCTGGCTGTGACCAGGAGTGGACACAGCTGCTGGAGTCCTGGAGTCTGCAGCTGCTGGGCTCCACCCTTCCCAAGCAGGTGCTCTGGCCTTCCCAGGAACTAAGCACCCAGAGTTCTTCCAGTCGGATCCTGTTCTCCTTAACTTGGCCAAAGGTGGTTCCACCTGCTGACAACCAAAACACCAACAGGATACAGTGAGGACAGGGACACAGGCAGCAACCAACTGGGGTAGAATTTGTCCTGTCTCCCTGTGAACCTGGGGAAAGTCTAAACTTAGGGAGGAAAAGTTGGGCCTGGACTGTCTGCAAGGTTGTGGCCTCCGGTGGGCAACTTCCATCCTGGGCCTGTAACTGCTGAGGGAACCCTCCCTCCTACTGCGAGGCCCTGGGGACAGACACTGAACCCTGCAGTCTCTCTGCCCCTGAGCCTGACACAGCTTGTAGTTAGACACTCAGGTGTGTTTGCTGAATGGGAGAGAAGGAGGAAAAGAGGGAGAGAGGGAAACCTAGGAATGCTGTCCCTCCTTTGGGGAGTACGTGGCACATTTTGCATGGCAGCAGAGTGGAGCGGAGACAAGCCTGGGTCATGTCCCTGAGCAGGTCAGAAGCAGTGGCCACACTGTGGTGTAGCAGGTCCAGCTGAGGAGAGGGGTGGGTGCTGCTGGTCAGGAAAGCCACCACCCCTGCCCCTGTGATGAGTTTTGCTCTGACACCCCAATCCCTGCCATATGGGGGCAGGTGGCCAAAGAGATAGCCTGGAGGTAGTCCAGAGCTGTTTGGGAGGTTCAAGGTAGGAGGAAGCGAAGCTAAGAAAAACATTTTTATCTCCTCAGGGGTGCGGGACCCTCAGGGACCTTCCATAGGTATGACACTTCATCTGTATATTTGGTCAGACCCAGCAGTGGGGAGGGCTCTCTGTACATCTCAGGTCAGAGGACAGGGCCCTGCCCCTGCACCTCACACACCCCTCCCTTCCACCTCCACCAGAGGGAGCACTGCTCCAGGTCCCTACAACAGTGCCAGATCAGGGTTACATTCTGGAGGCAGTGCACTAACAAGAGGAATGGCAGGCCCCAACCCCTCCTTAGGGCTCCCTCTATTGCTACAGAATCACCTTCTCCAGACTAACTGCTCTTGCCTGGAGGGTCGAGATTCTTCTGGTTTATTGACATTGTGGGCCCAGCACCATTTGTTCTAAGCTCTGTGTGCTATTTTATCCTCCCAACAGCCCTTTGAGTTTAGGCACACTTATGCTCACTGACAGAAGCCCATCTGAGATCCCAAGAGGTTAGATTGCCCAAGGTCACACACTCTAAAAAGTGCTAGAACTGAATTAGAATCCAGAAAGTCTGAGTTAGCAGCTGAAACATTCCTGCTACCTCACTGGCTCCCGTCACAATGGGGCCCTCACCTGGTCCCATAGCAAATATGGGCATCAGACAGATGTCCTCTCATCTTCAATGACAGACACAAAGCAGCTCAGAGAAGGGATGTAACCAGCCCAACATCACCCAGCAAATGGGTGATAGGGCTAAACCTGGAGCAAGGGTTTCCAGAGCTCTCACTGGGGAGCCTGAGGACCCCTTGGTTAAATTGGTGAAGGTCAAGTCTGGCCAGGGCAGTGGAGAGCCAGGCCCTGCCTTGAGGCTGGTGCTGCAGTTCTGCCTGGTCCCTCACCTGGAAGTGGATGGCAGAAGCTGTGTACTCTGGAGCTCACGCCTCTGGTTCTGTTTCCATTCCCAGCCAATCTTCAGAGAGCTTCTAAAGGTCAATTTTTTCCCTCATATTAAAGTGTTTTGGGAGGTAAGGCCCCAGCTTCCAGTCACAGTCACAGAGGCACTGCCCTTGCCCAGAAGACATTCCTCTGGTTCCCATCACCGTGTAATCAGGCTGAGGCATGAGATGGACATATTCCAGTATCCTTTACTGTGCCCAAGCCTAGCCACTCAGTGACCATGCCCATAGAGATGGCCAGAAGGGACAGGGCACACATCCAGCAAGCTCCATCCAGGAAATAGATGACAACTCAAATCAGGTCCTCAGGGAAAGCTGAGGAATGAGGCCATTTACAAAGAGTGAAGGGCCACTCCAGGAACTGCAAGAGACAGCGGGCTCTTGCCACTCCTAGACCTGAAGGAGTGGCCACCCCAAGCCAGAGACTGAGAGGACTACACAGAAAGGGCCACCTGTCAGGTCCTGTGATTGGGTCAGTGGAAGAAAAAGCACAAGACAGCCACGCAGAGAGGGAGCTGGGAAATGAGTCCCCTGACCTCACACTCCCCCATCCCTACTCCAGCTGGTGCTCCCATTGGGCAGCTTCCAGGGGCACTGAGCACCTCTGTCGTCTACTGCACTCACTGCCTCAAAAATGTGCCATGGCTCCCCATTCCTGTAGAAGAAAGCTCAGGTTCTCCTGCCAGGCATTCAAGGGTCCCCACACTTAGGCCCCAAGCCACCTCTCTGGCCTCGCAACAGCAGGTGCTTCACATAATCTGCACAATGACTGCATAAGGTGAGTACCGCCATCATCTCCGTTTTATAAAGAAACCATTTGCCAAGATCACCCATCGGTTCGTGATGCAGCTGGAATAGGAACCCATGACCCCCTGAAGCTGAGGCCTGGGCTTAATGGTTCTGAGTGCTAAGTACCAACTGCAAGGCTGTGCTCCACTCACCAGGCCTGTGCCCTCCTCACAGCAAGAGCTCAAAGTGTGAAGAAGAGAAAGGAGCACGGAGAGGAAGATGGCATGCTGATGGGTAAACTCTCATTTCACATGTGTATTAACCCTGTGGGGGTAGGAATTAGCTCTGTGTAGAGTTGAGAGCCCTCAACTTCAGAAAGATTAAGGAACTTACCCAAGGTCAAACAGCAGTCACTCTCAGCCAACATTTGGCTCCCAAACCAGCTGGCTGATAGGCAGGCCCTGTGGTCTCTCTGCAGAGGATGCCCCACAAGATCTTCATTTTCTTATTTCCACCCCAATCCAGTGCTAGCACCCTCTCTGAGCACCTGGAATTCTCTCTGCTAACCAGCACTTTGGAGTTAGGCACATCATTAGAAAGCCCCAGTTAGAATGAAAATAACTTACCCCCGAAAGAGAAGCATACTGAGCCAATGGCCTTGGGCCACTCTTAGAATTGGCAAAACTGTGTGTGTGTGTGTGTGTGTGTGTGTGTGTGTGAGAGAGAGAGAGAGAGAGAGAGAGAGAGAGAGAGAGAGAGAGAGAGAGAGAGATTGTGTGTGTTAGGCTTTGAAGGGCCCAAGTACACAAATATCACCCGCTCCTTTGTCTCTCCTTACTGAATCAAAGCAAGATGCTAAGAGAACAGGACATAAGAGGAGTGAGTTTTACTGGACAAAATAAGGATAGAAGTATGGAATCCAAGTTGGCAGCCTGATGGGTCATTGTGGGGAACCTCCCTCTTGGGTGTCCTGGCAGACAACACAAGAGATCAGCATGGTATGAGGAGAAGAGGATTCTAGAAATGTAGAATTCAGCTCAGGAATTTAGCCTGCTGTATGCCCTGAGGCAAATACTCCGTCCCCCTTGACCTCATATTCCTCCCCTGTGAAAAGAGAGGGGTCAGACTAGACGTTTGTACCTTGCCACCCAATAAAAGACCCCTTTTACCTTTCTCAGTTGCTGAGATGCCAGAGAGGGGCTCCCTCTTTTCAAGCTCCCCTGCTTCAGCTGGGGCCAAAGCCTGTGGGCTGTGAGAACACTGCTGGGTGGAGACCTCCTCCACCAGGGTTCCGCATCCTGTGTCTATGATCAGGATGCTCAGAGGTGGCCTGTCTTCTGACAGCTGAGTCTCCCACCAGCACAGTTAATTTTCTGCTGTTCCTGAGAAGTGACAGCAACTTGAAGCATAAAGCAATTAGGATGAAAAAGAGGCCCAGCTGCTTGGGGCCAAAGGACAATAAACAGACAGGCCCTGTGTGTACTCCACCGCCAAGAGGAGCCATTCTTCATGGGATGATTAGCATTTCCAATCCCAGCTTCTTCCCCTCCCTTGAAAGAAGAAAAGTGACCCATGAGCTGCTGCTATTTTCAGATCCTCTCTTCCCAGAATGTCCTGAGGACTTGATAGCTTGTTTCCTTATGGAAGTCTTCCCTGGCCACCTGCCCAGCAGCCCTGCCAGAAATGGTACCCCTCCCCTCTGAAATCTGATTCTTGTCCTGTACCTCTCCTGTGGGTTTTCCCTTGATTGATCAATTGACTCATTCATTCTCTCTTTCAACAGACATAAATTGGACACCATTCATCCATTTGACAAGTTTAAGCCCTTACTATGTTCTAGTCACTGTTTTAGATCCTGGTGTTTCAGTAGTGAATGAAACAGATGAAATCTCTGCCCTTGGGCCAGGGATGTGCTTTGGTGGCAGAGCACTTGCCTAGCATGTGAGAGACCCCTAGGTTTGTTGCCTTGTGCTTTAAAAAAAAAAAATTCTACCATCATGGAGCTCAAACTTTAGTAGGAGGAACAAGTGAAAATATAGCATGGAAAAGGATGATAAATGTTCTGGAGAAAAACAATCAGGAAAAGGAAGAGGGGATGCAGAGAAAGGGGAGGTAGATTTTAAGTAGGGAGGTCAAAGAGGCCTAAGAATCAAAGTGACGTCTGAGCAAAGACCTTGCGGGAGGTGGGGGTGTGAGCCAGATGTCTAAGTGAGGAAGGTGTATGCCAGGTAGAAGGACATCGCTCAAAGACCCAGAGCTGGGAGCATGCCTGGTGTGTTTCAAGAATAGCAGGGAGGCTGGGAGAACGTGGTAAGAGATGAAGTTGGGAAGGAACGGGGTGGAGAGACTCTGAAGAACTTTGGCTTTCACTCTAGTGGATGGGGAGCCCCCCACAAGGGTTCTGTCTGGAGGAGCAACAGGTCTGACTAGCATCTGGTTAGGAGGCTCTGGCTGCCATGGGAACAGGCTGAGGGAGGAAATCATAGAAGCAGGCCAGGGGCGTGGGGCAGTGTGGGAAGGCCTAACTTCTGCCTAACCTCTGTCAGGCAGCTACATAAACAAGGCAGGGTAATCTCTAGGGAGAGGAAAGCTTGGGGTGCAGGGTATCTAGAGTCAGGGTCAAGAGAAAAGCTTGTGGAAGACTGGAGAGAGTGCCAGAAGACATTTTGCAAGGTGGCCACAAAGGGTCACCTGTTGCTTTAAGCTCTGTGTGTGTGTGTGTGTGTGTGTGTGCGTGCGCGCGCGTGCGTGTGTCTTTGTCAGGACAAATTTTTCAGTTGCCTCTGAGCTAGACAGAGAGATTTAAAAACCAAAGCCTCTGGGCTCAGTAATTCCTAAAACCTCTGTAATTTGCCTACCTGTCCCTAGTTTGTGCCCCAGAATACGTTCTTCAGTGACAAGTCTAGATGTCAGGGTATGAGAGGCTGAGAATCCCTTGTCCTGGGTTCAGGTTTCTGCTCTTCAACTTAACTGGCTGTGTGACTTTGGGTGACTCAAGCTGGCTTTCTGCTGGTTTCCCCACCTACAAAACAGCTGTGGTAACTATCCCTGCCAAGGGCAATGGAGACAGACACTGGCTGTGGGGGGAACTACAGAGCCTTCACTCTGAGGACCCCTGAGCCAGAGAAGGTGGGCTGCTTCTGAAAACTTCTCCTACCCTTCCTGAGAGGGAGGGAGTCTCTGTGAAAGTGTAACTCCCACCCCACCCCATGGCTAGTCGTGGAAACCCTCTTGAAGTGGGCCGTTAGTTTCCTGGCTAGGTCCTAAGGCAAGAGAACCGAGGAGAAAGGGCTGGATCCAAGGGAACTGATGAACCAAAAAAGAAGTAAGGACAGACAGAAAAGGATGAAAGGAAGGAGATGTTAAAGAGATGGAAGCAGGTCCATCTCAGAACGTCAGCTAAGCAGGGATGCAGCACAGAAAACAAACATGTAGCCCTGGTTCAAAGTCAGGCTCTGCCACTTACCAGCTGGGCCTTTTCCAATCATGTGACCTTTGGGTTGCGGGGTGGTTCCTTGAGAGGAGGAGCAGGAGTACTGTGGAGCTGTCTAGCCTTCAAATTCTTAAATATTCAAGTAAGTGAAGTACGGGAAGGCTCTGTATGAATAACTGTGCTATTGTTATCATGCAGAAAAGAGCTCAGGAAGATTCCTCAGAGTGAAGGAACAACCAAATTCAGGGAGTTCGCCGAGCAGCCGGAAGTGCAGCACACAGAGTTCTATAAGTGAAAAAGCCTGAGAGCTGATTAACAAGCACCTCCATGTCACAAATCTCACGTGTTCAGCACTGGCAGAAGGCAGGAGCAGGGGCAAGAGTGCTCCGCACTGTTAAGAAAAATTATCGTAACTTGGAAAAAATGCAAAAGGAGGACTGGGGTCCTTCAGCGTCACTCTGGGACAATGCTGAACAGTGAAGTGCTATTTAATTACTAAGGGGCATGTACCTTTGTTTAATAACTCACCGTGGATTACAGCTCAGATCATGTGAGGCCCTGTACTAACTCATGGATGCCTGCACAAGTATGTGCGTGCATGTATGTGAAGATGCAAAATATTTTTTTTTCCAGGAAAGAACCACAAAAATGATGGTTTTATTGCCCAGAAGACATTGTCCAGCAGAATCTCTAACTTAGCAAACTTATTTCAGCATGTTTTTGCCAACTAGTTATACAAATTCCTGTCTCTCAAATGTTCTTTTCAACCAGCTTTGCATTCTTTTGGTCCCCTTATTAGCAAATGAAGAAATTATTGACATGATTTTTAAAACATTCTCTGACAGAACCACAAGTGAGGAACTAACTCTGCTGTGCTGTGTGGCTTTGGGCCAATTACTCAGCTTCTGAACTTGCCAATCTCATCTGCCTTATAGAGGGTACCAATGTCCAGGATTGTGGTGGTATGAATGGGGAGATGGATGTGAAAAGACTTTGCACAGCATTCACAGGATACAAAAGTCAGGGTTTATTGTTAAGACTTATCAGACTAGGCTGTTCCAGGGTTGGAAGGTCCGAGGCTTCTGAGGGTAGCATTCTCCAGGCTTGGGATATAGGTCAGGGGAAGAAGCTGCGAGGCTATCTGACACTAGGCTCCATGCCAATGCTGTATTCTTCACTTCTGATGAGGCCAAAAATTCCCATGGGTCTCAGGTCCGGACAACAGAGACCACTCAGGACCACTCAGAGAAGTCTGCCCAAGTCCACAGAGGGGCTGAAGGGCTGGGCAAGCATCTGCCCAGAAGCCAGAACTGGGTATTCTAAAGGAGGACAAGTCCTCATCTAGTACTACCAGCCAACAGCCCTAACCAGTGGACCCTACAGCCTGGGTTCTTGCAAGCCCTCATCATTTTATTCTGCAAGTGAGGAAGTGCCCCAGCTCAGTGATAAGCACAGGATCTCTGCCCTTACTATATCTGTGCATGTGTGTGGCTACACACATGCACGCACACACACACAATGGTGTCACAGCCAGGGGTCCGTTGAGCAATGCAGGCAGCCAACATCAGGAAAATGAGGAGCTGGATCAGCCAATCCTGCAGAGAGGAGATGGGTACAGAGCTGACAGAGGAAAATTGGGAGGACAGGAGGGGGAAAGGAAGAGAAAAGGGAAGAGAGGAAAAGAGGAGAAAGACATTCTAGGCCCAGGGAATGGCAGGAGCAGAGGCTAGGAGGAGAGAGTTGGAACCTGCAGAATATAGTGGAAGACATACAACCAAAGAGATAAGGCAGGATTGGGCTCATACCTTGAGTGAAGTCATGGGGGTTAACAGTCCACTGTCCCTGTGGTGATGGTAAAAAAGGGGATTAGCAAGGGGCTTACACCTGTGTGCCCCCTCCCCCAATGTTCCATCTCCCCAAAGGGAAAGTAGGAAACCCTTTCTCTCTTCCACAGCTCTCACTCCAGGCTAGGCTGTTTTGTCTGCTACAAGTTGGCTCAGTCTCACCCCATCCCTAAAATATCTCCATCATCAACTGGTTGCCTTAAAGGCTGGGTTCTCAGAGATTTACCATATACTCCAGTCTTTCCTCAGCTCTCTTCCTGAGCTCTCAGTATCTATGAACTAAACCTCTCTTTTCAAACAGTATCTTATCTGTCTCCTCCTTGCAACTTGTATAATCTCCACCTTCCTAAATATATCTCTTCCCTTCCTTATTTTTCCTTTACCCTGCTGATTCCTTCAGTAATTCTTTTGTTATATTATGATAACAAAGTAATTCTTTATGTTATATATAAAGAATATATATTCTTTTGTTATATTAAAAACATGTTGCCAGGCACAGCAGCACACGCCTGTAATCCCAATGGCTCAGCAAGCTGAGGAAGGAAGATTGCAAGTTCAAAGCCAGCCTCAGCAAGGTAGGGAGGCCCTAAGCAACTCAGGAAGACCGACTCTAAATAAAATACAAAAAAGGAATGGGGATGTGGCTCAGTGGTTAAGTACCCCTGAGTTCAATCCCTGGTACCAAAACAAAAAACAAACAAACAATTAAAAAAAAAACATGTTGCTTTGTGGATGGAGACAAGTATGTGTAAACTTTGTTGTAACTGGATTGAGTTTTTTTGGGCTAGACTCAAAGCTTTGTGGACCCCTGCTTAGCAACTACAGCTCTCATTAGGCCTAGCACTGAGTTGGGAAAATGATAGGCACCTAATTTGTGCCTACTGATTATTAATTTGGCTAACAACACTTAACCCGCTCCTAGCCATGCTCAATTGCTGGCCAAGTCCATTGTCAGGCTGGAGGACTGGGCAAGCAATAAGCCTGGATTATTCAAATCCTAACCTTCCTACCCCTTTCACTGACATCATGACCCACCATCTCTCAGCAGAGTCTAAGTGATTTGAGGGCTCAGACCCCGGTGTCACTGTTGCTCCCTGAGCTTCTTGGGCATGTTCACACCACCAGAAGGCTCGAGAACAGAGTCTCTCGATAGGGAACAAGAAATTCCCGGGAGCTTCTCAAATCAGTCTCGCACACTCAGCCTCTGCTCAGGGGAGACTCAGGGTGTCCTCTCCTATCGCCAGCTCAGGGCTCACAGTTCTGGCAACGCCGTGGCCACAGGCCCCGGAGCGCCAGGGGGCAGCCTCAGGAGAAAGGTCTGCAAAGAGCCGGGCCGGGGAAAGCCTATCTTTTCGCTGAGCAACCGCCAGGTGCCACCCTCGATGGCGTACAACAGCGTGACCACGCGGTTGACAGTATAGACGGTGTCGCCGCGCACTACCGCAGTGAAAAGTGCTCCCTTGCTGTTGACAAACTGGCCAGGTAGCTCCGTCCACTGGCCCGTGGTCAAGTTGAGGCAGTCGATGGCGCAGTGCAGGAAGTCGTCGGAAGGTCCATTGCGCACCACGTAGAGACTGTCACGATGGGCCACCATGAAGTGCCCGTAGCTCTGTGGATGCCGCAACTCGGCCACTGGCAGCCACGCGTCAGTCCGCGCCGCATACTCCACAACTGCAGTGATGTCTGCCGGCCGCCACAGGCACACGAAGAGGCGGCCACGCGCTTGGGCGCAGGGCACCCCTGTGGCCGGCTGTGGCAGGTCAGCCATGAAGCTCCAGCAGCCAGTGGCCGGGTCGTAGCATTCCACCGAGCTTATGGTCATCCTCTGGAACTCGCCTCCGATGGCGTAGAGGCGGCCGTCGAAGCCCACCAGTGCCGTGTCATAGCGTGGCTGGTGTGGGCTGGGGAACTCGCGCCACGTGCCTCCGTCGGGGTCGTAGCAGAAGCCCAGCTCCACCACCTCCTTGCTAGGGCCACGCACGCCACCCACAATGTAGAGTTTGTTGCCCAGCGTGGCCACTCCTGCCAGCATTGTGCTGGCTTCCAGGGGCAGCGCGGCCAGCGTGCGCCACACGTCCTCCTCCTCGTCCAGGTAGCACATTGTGCGTGACTCATCTTCCAGGAAGCCAGGTGCAGGCGTGTGAGTGCTCAAGGCCACATAGCTGCTGGGCCGCAGGGTCGCCACGTAGGCGCGGGCCTCGGGCAGCACCAAATCGGCCGCCAGCTCGCGCTCGCCATCGCGAATGAAGAGCGCAGCGCTGTGGAACAAGTCTCTCAGGCCAAAGGCGGCGGCAGCGTCGCACAGCAACGCACAGTTGTCCGACGTGAGGCTGTGCTCCAGAAAGCGCGCCAGCTCCGGCGCCTGCAGGAAGGCGGCGCACTCCACCGCCTGCAGCAGCTCATCGTCGGCCGCCAGTGCCGGCCGCTGGCCTCGCAGCACCTCCAGCGTGGTGCGGAAGCCACCCGCGCTTAGCGCGCCCAGGCGCACCTCTGCAGCGCGAGCCTCCCGCATGCCGGAGCGGAAGAGGCCGCGGAAGAAGCCACAGTGCTCCACCAGCAGTGCCTGGTCAGCTTGGAAGAGCTGGCCTCCCACCCATACCTGAACCGGGACCTCAGGGCCCCGCGGCATGGTGAGCCAGAGGGGCGGAGGTTGCCGCTGGGGACCTGGATTCGCCGAACCACCGACTCTGGGGCTACCCCGTACTGGGAAAAAACGTCCCCCAGGGATATAAATACTTCCCTGGCTAAAGATAGTAGGCACATGTGATGTGGTGGCCCGCAGGCTGGATGGCCCCGGGCCCAGAGGGCATCAGGAGAACTGTGTGGTCACCTCCATAAGAGAAACCGTGATAAAAGTGACTATATACTGAACATCTACAGCATGCAGGACATTGCGAGGCCACTTGTAAAGATACCCCGTTTAACTCGCACCGTATCAGCTGTGTCACCTTGGTACAAAGCAAGTACCTTAACTCCTTGCTTTTCAGTTTCCTCATCTTCAGAATGGGGCTAATTAAGCGCCAGTGAGGGTACACACCTGTAGACCCAGCTACTTGGGAGGCTGAGGCAGGAGGATGGCAATTTAGCAAAGCCCTGTTGCCAAATGAAAGATTTTTTAAAAAAGGGCCCAGTAACAGAATGCCCCTGGATTCAATCCCCAGTACCACCTCCCCCCCCCCCGCAAAAAAAAAAAAAAAAAAAACAGTGTAGGGGAGGCAATAATAATAATAACACCTATTTCACTGTGTAGAACAATATCTATAAAGCATTCTGAAGGAGGCTCACAGAGTTTAGGTGAGTTGTCCAAGATCATTTAGCTAGGAAGAACCAGAACAGAGGGGGTGGGACAGGCAAGTTGGAGGGAGAGGCAGAAGTTGAGCAAATTGAATGGTCCAGGATTCTAATGTGTCCTGAGCTTCTGGCCCTGTATTTGGAGCCCAATCTGTTTTGTTTTGTTTTTTAATGTGTGTGTGTGTGTGTGTGTGTGTGTGTGTGTAAGCTGCAGATTGACACAATACCTTTATTTTATTTATATGTGGTACTGAGGATCGAACTCAGTGCCTGAAACGTGCTAGACAAGCACTCCACCCCTGAGTTACAACCCCAGCACCCCCCAGTCTGTTTTTGAACCTCAGCTTCCTTTTGTGTAAAATGGGAAGAATAGCAACTCTTCTTTGCAGGTGTACATCCAGTCATCCCCTACCTATGGAACTTATTTCTGACTTGGGATGGGAATAGAAGTAGATGTCTGTTCTCTACTTGCCTAACCCTTTCATTGCTGTGTGACTTGGACCTTGAGAGAAAGAAAGTGGGGGTACTGCAGACATCTTATGCCTATGGATGGAAAGAGTGGCTTCTTGGAATAATAATAGCTAACATTTAAATTGCATTTTTTGTCAGGCACTGCAATAGCATTTATATTAACTTCTACAATCCTTGCAACAATTCTGAGTGGATACTATTTCTCCCATTTAATAGATATTATCTGCTCACTGCTTATAGCAACACTATGAACTGGATAGTATTATTAATGGCTCCATTTCATTGATGAGGAGACTGAGTCACCAAGAGGTTTAATCACATGGCCAAATCTAGGCAGACCTAGGACTGGAATGCAGTCCTTTTAACGTTAGACTGGGACCCTAACCATTGGTGCTGTGTTACAAATGCTGGGCTCTCATGGTTCACCATTTTCATTTATAGTAGAGGACCTGGGTCACGGGGACAGGAAGTTACCCGAGGTTTGCAACTTGGAGCAGAGAGCCCCAGACCTCTTGCTGCCCAGTCTATGACACTTTTCCCAATGCACAGGACCCTCCTAGGTGATTAGCTGAGACTCTGGGGCCTAAAAAGTAAATTATCTTCTCCTATCATCTTCTTCTGTAGGTAAGCAAATGGTATCTGCCTTTTGGGGGATGTTCAGCTCGCCCACCTTCTCCTCAGGCCTCCTTTGGGAGGATGAGTAGCTTACAGTGACCATGCAGGAACTGGGAGGAGGGCAGGGGAGCTTTCCTCCGTTTAGGATACACTTATGCACAGACCCTCAGGATGAATCTTCAGACCCAAAGCAAATGTGCCTCCCCTGTTAGGGAACTAGTTTGACCCTGTCAGACTGGGACTGGGATATGGGGACCACTTGTGTGAGCCTGGGAAGCCAGAGGCCTGGAGGAGGCAGCCAGAAATATCTCAGACACTCTGCCCTAGGGACCAGACAGGAAGAAGAGGAGGAATGGGGTGGGGGTGGGGGACAGGAGTCTTCATGAATACTATCCCAGGCCCTCTGCCAGCTTCTCTCCTTCCCTGAGACCAAACTTTGGCTGAAAGGGCCTGCAAGTTCCAGGTAGCAGACATGACAATCCCTTCTTGGGGACAAGTGGGCTCTGCAGTGCTAGGTTCTTACTAGTGGCCTTAGTGGGAAGGGAGAAGGTATCTAACTGTTACCATCTCACGGAACAGGAAGGGAGGCTTAGAGATGGGAGGGGGTTTTCTTGGTTATGAAGGAGGATGTGGGACTGGACTGAACCCTGTCCACTGACCCTAGGGCCTGCTCTCCAATTCAGCCCGGCTGCCACTCTTCACTGACACCGTGAGGCTCGAGGGGCAGGGCTGGGGAGGGCTGACCACCCAGGGGGTCAGGGCTGCTGCACATTCCTAGGGCCCCAATTCCCTCCCAGCTGGCCTGTTCCAGACACCTAGGAACCAGGCGCCACAAAGATGGAAGCATCGCCAGCCCTCCTGAGAGCAGGAGGCAGAAGAAGCACAGACCCCTGGTTGAAGTTTGCTCTCTGCTTGATTTTCCCCCAGTCCAGCCTCCTTGAGTGGGTTGGGGCTCATGCACACACCCAGTGTCCAAGTTCAGCCGCCAGACAGTGGGGAGGGGTGACCCAAGCTGGGGGTTATGGTTCTGAGGCTGGGCTGTGGATCAGCTGTTTGGGCCCACCCCCGAGGCCCTATCGGGTGCCGCCTGCAGCTGAGGAGAGTTTCCACCTCCCAGACTCAGAACATCCCTCTGGGATTTGGAGAGGACAAGGAACCATCCTGGCTGTGGGCAGCCCACAGAGTTCCCAGGCTCTGCCCGACCCCACACTAACCTCCTCTCCACTGTGCACCCCCGCACTGTGCAAGGCTGGGGGTAGGGACAAGGAAAGGAGTCTGCAGCAGACTTTGAGCCTTTCTAGAACACAGACTCGGCCTTGTTCATCTCTGTCCACATGATTGGCACACAGTAGGGGTCTGTTAAGTGGAATCCCAGGCCCTAACCTAAGACAGTCCCCACCCAGTCTGTTTGGGAAGTCACAGCCCCTGTTCCAGGGGGACCCTCAGTCTGATGGGGGAGACATAGCTCTTGCCCTGGGAGACAGCCCCCACCCCACCTCCAGGCTGATGGAGAAGTTTCTTGATACAGGGAAGCCAGTAGCTTGCATTGCCTGAACTGGGAGTCAGGATTCTGGCCTGTGCTTTGATGCTGTACTGCACTGACTTGCAAGAGCTACCCATCCCCTCCAGGCAAGTTCTTCATCTTAGACAGAGTTTGGATCTGATTTCAAAGGTTCTGTTCAGCTTGGACATCTGAGTTTGACCTCAAACATGTTGTTTCTCCAGGAAGAGTAGTGACATCACAGAGGGCTTCCAAAAGCTTAGCTTTAGGTGGAATGGTTCCTGGGGGTTAGTGGCCTGAAGCCATCTAGGACGTGGCATCAAGAAACCTTCACGTGGTTTCTTCATGCCTACACCTCTACATGCCCCACTTGTTCACTCCAGGGACATCTATTGAGTATCTGCTTCGTGCCCACTACTGGGAACTGTGCATAGCTTCAGTATATTGGGTGCCTGAGGGTCATCTATGAGACCCATGGTAGGGGTGGGGTCAGGAGAGTTGGGATACTTGTCCAACAGAATAACCTCTCCTGGTTTTTTTTTTTTTTTTTTTTTGTGTGTGTGTGTGTGTGTGTACCAGGAATTTAGCCCAGGGGCACTTAACCACTGGGCCACATCCCCAGCCCTTTCAAAAAATTTATTTAGAGGGGCTGGGGTTGTGGCTCAGTGGTTGCGTGCTCACCTAGCATGCGAGGCATTGGGTTCAATTCTTAGCACCACATAAAAATAAACACAACAAAGTCCATCAATAACTTAAAAAATATTAATTAAAAAAAATTTTATTTAGAGACAGGATCTCACTGAGCTGCTTAGAGTCTCCCTAAGTTGCTGAAGCTGGCTTTGAATTTTCGATCCTCGTGCCTCAGCCTCCTGAGCCACTGGGATTACAGGCCTGAGCCACAGCACCTGGCATAACCACTCTCTTGAGCTGAAGTGTCCACGTTTCTACTAACTACACTGCCCACTGACTTCTTGGCAGGTGAACCAGGAGTGTGTGCTGTTCAGGAAGGTAGAGAAGAGGCAACTATCAGTTGCTTCTTTGGGCCATTGGCGAAGCTCTGGGTGGGGTGTTTCATATTACCTCACCTAACCCTTAATACCAGTATTTTAAAGCTGAGAAACTGAGGCATGGAAAAGCAAAGCAGCTTATTCTAGGGCCTGATGGTAATTGGACTTATTCCTGAGATCTTTCCAGTCCACAGTGGGTACTCCGGGTGCCGGACAAGCAGCCTACAGAAGAGGAGGCTGAGAGTAGAGAAAGGATCTGGGCACTCTCCTCCCAAGCCTCAGACTTCGAGCCCTCAGCTGTGACAGCTGACAGCCTGAGTAACTGACTAGCAACCAGCTCAATCTCTAAACTAAAATGGAATTAAGAATCATCTCAGCCCATTGTGAAAGTCAGGCTGGAATCTCCTCTACAAAATCTCCTCTACAAAATCTCCTTGAAGTGTTGAAGTGTTCATCCCCTTGGTTGTTCTCAAGGTCAGGGGGTTCACTTCATCCAAGGACAGTCCCACATGGTTAGAATTCACCCTCATACTGAGCTAGAATCTGCCTCCTTGCAACTCCCATCTCCTGGTTGGTCTGAATTTTATTTATTTATTTATTTAATATTTATTTTTTAGTTCTCGGCTGACACAACATCTTTGTTTGTATGTGGTGCTGAGGATTGAACCCGGGCCGCACGCATGCCAGGCGAGCGCGCTACCTCTTGAGCCACATCCCCAGCCCCTGGTCTGAATTTTAAAGAGGAAGAAACTGAGAACAGAAAGACATTAAATCATTCCTGCCCCAGTCCCAGCTGGGGAGTAGCAGAGTTCGTTTGCAGGGCCTGTGTGGATCCACAGTTTACTTTCTCCCCAGCAGCCCTCCAGGAAGATTGGTTTTCTCGCCACAGACTCCTTCTGGATCCAGTCTCTTCACAGGACTGTGGCCAGCCCAGGGATGAGGCTGGAACTTGGCTCCCACATTCTCAACTCCTACAACTAAAAGGAAAACCCTTGGTCATTAGCTGTGCTAGCATTTCTGGCCTCAGGGTGTAATCTAAACAAATTCCTCCCTGTACCTTAGAGTCGTAATAACACAGCTGTTTTATTGTGGTCTCCCCCAAACACAGGCTGAGCCAATATTCATGTCCTATACAGGAAAACTGTTTTCCTTCTTGGTTGGAGAGAAGTCATTCCCATCCTGCTCTGACCCAGGACCCTCTGCTGCTGACCTGGGTTTCTATGGTTTCTTTTGTGGATGGGTGGGTAGATTGGCTAACCATCTGGGGGAAGGAGAAGGGAACTGGTTGTAGTTAGGTTCCCATACCCTTCCCAACTCTACCCTGGAGTGTATTCCAAAAGACAATCTCCACAGCCTTCTAGAACATACTCAGATCTGGAGCCCAGGTCCAACTCTATCAGTCTTTATTAGATGAGTGACATCATAGAATTTTAGATTTCTTTTCCCTTCCTCTAGTATTCATAGCTGGGAACACTGAAGCTCAAAAAAAGTAAAGTGATGGTGCAGCCTGTAATCCCAGCAGTTGGGAGGCTGAGGCAGGAGGATCCTGAGTTCAAAGCCAGCCTCAGCAACTTAGAGAGTCCCTAAGCAACTAAGCAAGACCCTGTCTCAAAATAAAAAAGGGGCTGGGGATGTGGCTTCATGGTTAAGCACCCCTGGGTTCAATCTCCCCCTACCAACAAAAAAAAGAAAAGACTTGTCCAAGGTCATGGGAAGGAGCTGGCCCTAGATCCTGTCTATATTCTTGGTATGGGCCATTTTCTCCAGCAAGATCAGGTTTACCCTGAGATCCAAGGGAAATGACCAGGTGACTCCTGCCAAGCTCACCAATTTCAGAACTGTAGGCAAGAGGGGTGCCAGGTTTTAGAACAAATGCCCCATTTACACCACAGACCACAAACACATGCAACTCATTAGGTCCCATAAGGAAGAAACAGTAAGGCTGGATGAATCCAGTTTCTTGAAGTTGAAAACATAGTGGTCATGAAGTCTTACTAAGGGACTCTCTCCCCCTGAGTTCTGCAGTGATGCCACTTAGAACCCCGACACAGAAGAGCAGGTTGCAGAAGTAGAGCGCCAAGGCTGAGCCCACTAACCTAAAGAAACGGCAAGACCAGGAGACTTCCTGGAGGCGGCGGCGGGGCTACCCCGGTGGAACAAAGGAAAGGGTGGATTTCCTAGTTGGTGCAAAGAAGTGGAGGTTTGGGAAAGTCTTTCTCTCTATCCCTCTGCCCGAGAATCTCTCTCTCCGATCGATCCTCCGCGGCGGGGCCTGGGGCCTCCCGGGTCCTCAAGGCGGAGCCGGTCGGTGGGGGCGCGGGCGGCCGGGCGCGCGCGGAGAGGGCGAGCGCGCCCCGCGGGGGGCTCCCGCGGCCCTTAAAAGGAGTTCGTCGCATCTCGGCGGCCCCGCCCGCCGGCTCTAGGGCCCCTCCTCCGGCCGGGTCTCGCCGGGCCGCGGGAACTCTGCCGCCGGCGCTCGGCTCGGGTCCTGCGCGCGGTACCGACGCGTCCGCCCCAGGGTGCCAGGACTGCCGCTCCCGGGGGCCCCGACCGGCGGGAGCGCTCTTCGGGACCCGTCGGCCCAAGACACGTGTCGCACTCACCAGTGTCGCCATGTCCTCGGTGTTTGGAAAGCCCCGTGCGGGCAGCGGGCTGCAGATCGCGCCCCTCGAGGTCAACCTAGCCATCCTGGGGCACCGCGGGGCGGGCAAGTCCGGTGAGTGGCGCGGGATTGGGGAGCGGAGGGACGGGGAACGTGCGGTGGGAACGGGGCGCTGTGGACTTGTGGGCTTCTTTTCCCAGGAGGGTTGCGTGAGACCTTGTGCTTTCCTTCATCAGGGAATATTAAGGCCACAGTTAAAAGTTCAAAGAGGGCCCCTTGGGCTGGAGGCCAGCATCCAACAGGTCCCTTTGCTGACACTCATCAAGATATCTCTGGATATCAGGATTTCCCCACTCCACACCCCAGTTCCTGGGGATTCCTGGACAAACTGCACATTCTTATCAAACCAGACCCCTCTATTAACTTTCTGGAAATACGCTGGACTGCGGTCCTCCGTGCCTGGGACTTGTTGATGAACCAAGGTCTTGGGCTTCTACTAAGATAATTTCTGTCACCACTGAACTCTGCCTTCACCACTCTGGCATTTGTCGCCATAGGCAGAGAAACCTCAGAAAAAGGGTTTGCCCCTCTGCCTGCCATTTTAAGTCCCAGACAGCTGAAAGTGGAGGGCAGAGGAGGGCTTCTCCACTGGCCGTTTGTCCAGTTAGAGCCATTAGTGAACGGCCAACAAGAGCTTAGTAAGCTGTAGGCTCCCCACTTTCCAGGGTGTTCTTTGAGACTCACTGAGGGTGTTACTTTCTGATTTTGAAGCCAGCCCCTCTGACTTAAAGAGGGGACTCGGAATCTGGTCATGCAACCAGAAAGATTTGCCTTTGCCCCTTTGAACATTATTCTGGAACTCTGTCACTGGTACAGTTTAGCCAGAACTACATGAATGAAGGAATTTACATTTTAAAATATGTATCCCCTGGGTATTAGTTTCCAAATGGACACTGGTAGGAATCCTAGGAAAGAATTTTAAGGATTTTCTCAACAATATCACATTACTTTTTAAGAGCCCAGTGTAATAAATAGTTGGCCAACCCCTGCCTTTATGTGGCTAAACTCTGAGCAAAATCAGAAGCCTCTTGATGCACCCCACCTGGGAGAACTTCGTGCTAGAGTTTTACATTCTGCCGAGATACCCATGAGGGGTGTGGAGGCCAAAGAGAGAGCCAGGATCTGAGATGTGGAGGATAGGCACTAGAGTGTTAGCTCAGGACAGGGATCTTGCCAGGCCCTGGGGACTTCATACCCTCCCAGGAATGGCTCACTGCTCAACTCTGCTCTTACTGTCTCTTTGGCTTGCAGCCAAAGCTGAAATAAATGCCCCAGCTTCAGAATCTGTGTGACTTGTCCAGGGTGGGGAACATGTCCCTTCTTCTGGGGTCTCACCAGGCTGACCCTACAGTAGCTGATTGCAAGGGTCCTGATCCCTGAGTTAGGGTCTACACAAAAATTCCTAAGCCTTGCCTCTCATTGTTTTTCTTGCCATTAAAACAAAACAAAACTCAGGGTGCACCTAGTGGAACTTGGCACCCCCTATTTCTATGTTTTTCTGAGCTTCTCAAACCAACTCCTCAGCTCTCCAGTGTGGTTCCCCACAAAAACTTAGCTTGGTGTCAGCCAGGGGTCACAGAAGTTTAGATAAGGCCTCCTTAAGAAGGGCAGCTTCCAGGGACCCACAGCCAGGCACTGCAGGCGAGACTGAGGCCACCTTTTTCTGCTTCTTGCAGCCCTGACCGTGAAGTTTCTGACCAAGAGGTTTATCAGCGAATATGACCCCAACTTGGGTAAGAAACCACTCTTTCCTAGACCTCTGGCTGCTTGTGCCCCACCTGGAGCACTCCCCTGGGACCTACCCCGTGGGTGGGCCCTGATGGGTACTGCATACCTGGGGGCAGAAGGGAGGAGTCACCAGGATCACCCACCCCATGGAGGGAAATGTTTTAAGTGTAAGAAGTACCCCTTCCACAGCCCACCCTAGACAACTTAGGGGTTGACCCAATTCAGAGAATTGTGAGAAACTGATTTGCCCCCAATTTTGAGGTATGATGAAAGCTGGGAAAAAAAAAAAAAACAGACATAGGAAGATATCCACATCCAAAAAGATATTGTTCTTTAAGATGATCACTCGGTGTTCTTTTCCAGAAAAGCTGAACCACATGAAAAATTCTCTAGTGATGCTGGCTTCTGAACCAATTTTTTTGAACCACATGAGTAAACCAGCCTTGCTTTTTTAGCTGTATCATAGCATACTGAAAAAAAGGGATGCCCATCAGAGCTGGGTTTGAATCCTGGCTCTGCCACTTATTAGCTGTGCAATTTTGAGGAAGTCACTTAACCTTTCTGGGCTCCTGTTTCCCATCTAAAATGGGCATCAAATATCTATCTCAGAGAATTACTATGAGGATTAAAGAAATAATGCATGTAAAAGATCTGGCCTAGAACTTGAGCCAAAGTAGATTCTCAATGTATGTCCGCTCTTCCTTCTTCCTCAATGGCTTCCCATGCATGGCATCTGAGATTCCCTCAAATGAATCATACCAGTGTTTCTGAAAATTATTTTTAGCAGTAGGACCTTTCTCTAAAATAATCTCTTACATGGAACCCTAATACCCGAGACAAATAAAAGCAGAATTTTGTTAGTATCAATGTAATTTTTTTTAAAGAGAGAGAGAGAGAGAATTTTTTTAATATTTATTTTTTACTTATTGGCGGACACAACATCTTTGTTTGTATGTGGTGCTGAGGATCGAACCCGGGCGGCACGCATGCCAGGCGAGCACACTACCGCTTGAGCCACATCCCCAGCCCAGTATCAATGTAATTTAAAGCTCACATTTATAACATTGTTATTATGAATGTCCACTGACACAGTGGGGTGTCTGAATGACCTTAGCATTTTGAAAATGGGTGTTGGATTATTTCCCCATTCACAAAAATTGAATAAAGCATTGGTAGGACTCCCAAGGGCTCTCAGAGGAAACCCAGGGCTCTGTGACACAGGTTGAAAACGCCTACAATGCAGCACTGCCCACAGCCTGCCCTGATGGCTGACTGGAGGAAAGAGTTCCTGAATCCAATGGTGCCCATCAGCCCCCCAGTTCAGCAGAACTAGGGTACAGAGGAGACCCAGTGCCAGAGCAGGGGGAGTCCTTAGAGCCACTTAGTCATCAGGTTTAAATTTTTAAAAATTTTTTTTCTTTTTTTAAATTGTTTTAATTACACATGACAGTACAATGATCTTGACATATCATACATTTGAATCAGTATTTTTTTCTTAAAGAAAAGAATCCCTTCTTCCAAAGAGATCTTAGAATGGTAGTCGTCAACAGGGAATGTGGAGGGCTTCCCTGGGTAAGTCAGGGGGTGGGACAGGTGGTGAGTTAACAGTCCTCCAGGGGTTTGTTCCTCACAGTTGTTCCTTAGCACAGTTCCTTGGTGCTGCACGGGAGGGAACAGGTCTGAGGAGCCAAGTTCACATGGAGAGGCTGAGGGGAGCCCCTTAGATCAGCAGAGGCCAACCCCTGAGAGAGCAGGACGCAGGGGGCAGTGGTGTGCTGGCCGGGGCAGTGCTGAGTGTGGCGGGGTGGGAGGCAGGAAGGAAGAGCACAGGAGCAGGCTGGCCATCCGGGAGGGACCCAGCAATTCCCAAGGGCAGTGCCTCAAAAGACTTTCTGCTTAGTTCATCTGGTGCCTGGGTCATGCTTACACCAAAAATCACTCCTTGTGTATCTGAAATTCAAAGTTAACCACATATCCTGGATTTTTTCTGGCCACCCACTTCCAGTGTCCCTCCTTCCCTGCCCCCAATCCATTCTTTTCACACAGGTCCCACCAGATGAGCCCATTACAGAGCTGCTTTGAGCTTCCTGATTGAGTAATTGTGGAATTCTGACCTATCGGTGGGATGTGTGGTCACACTGTCTGAGGGGGGGACAGCAGTTCCGCAGTGGTTAGTCACCTTGGCCTTTAGTCTCTTGCTTTGCCGAGACAGTCTCTGCTCACACACGCTGGAGGCCACTACCATTCCTCAGAGGATCCGTCCTGTTGCTGGAACAGCCTACACATTCCAGCCACTGTCCCATTTGCTGGTTTCAAAATATTTTCCCTTCATTTATAGTAATGACAACTTTTTAAAAAGCATCAAAGAAACTAGGGGACCAGAGCCTTTCCTCCTGTGGAGAAAGTTCTGGATGTTCAGGGCAGAGCGAGTGTCAGGAAGAGTGTCAGGAAGATGTTGCTAGAACAACTCCTCAGCTTCCTCTAGGGTGTCCTGAAAGCGTGATCACATTTGGGAGCCTCTTGAGGGGGAGACTTGTGCTCATTTCCAGCACAGTACTAGGCACAACGTAGTGCTCTTCGCTGTGATTTTGTTTTTGGATTACCAAAAACAAAGAAGAGAAGAACTCCTACAAATGTCATCCCCATTGTATAGGTTGAGAAACTGAGGCAGGCAGGGCTCAATAATTTGCATAGGATCAGGAGACCCCCCTCCTCAGGTCTTCACTAAGGACAGCCTTCTGCTATAGAGGGCTCAGAGCCAGAGGTCTATGTGGCACTGGGCTCTCTGAGCCTCGGTTTCCCCATCTAGAAGATGGGACTAATAAACTGGGCTCTGTCTGTGTTAGAATCGTGCTTTGTGACAGGCTGTCACTCTTATAGCCAGTAGGAACTGAAGATTTAGTGCCTATGCTGACCCTCGAGTAGGGAGCCAGTATCTCCAGGGAAGGTTCTCCTCTCCCAGAAAGGCTGGGGCATCTCACCTGGCTTAGCCAGGGGACAGTGCCTGCTTGTCATCCCATCTTTGCCTTCATCCTGTTCCAGCAAGGACATAGTTATCATTTCTGAAGCAGCACCCTATGCACACTCTGACCAGAATTTCTTTGGTGCTTTTTAAAAAGTTGTCATTACTATAAATGAAGGGAAAATATTTTGGGAAAGGACTCTTCTCTCAGCACTGAAGTCCACAGAATATTAATTAGCACCTGTATTTAGGGAACCAGAGTGCCCCAAGTCAGGGAAGACTACGTTACTGTGAATGGGTAAGGATCCTCACAACCCCGCCTCTGAGGCCAGTCACCTCCCCGTAAAGGGGATGCTGGACAAGATGCCCTCTGAGGGCATGTCTTTCTACAATAAAGATACAGCTAACTCAAAAGGCTGTTGGAGTTGGGGGCAGAGAATGGCCAAGTTTCAGCTAACACCATTTACTGGGCTGGGCAGGATACTATGCCTGTTTGGAGGGAGTCCCTAAAAGGGGCGCATTGGACAACGTTGGCAGGAAAATAAAGATAAATCTGAGCAAGATGTAGGCATCTAGGGACAGCTCTTCTTGGGCCAAATATAGTTAAACATTTGGGGCATATTTTCCATTCGATTTTTTTTTTAATTTTTGCATAAGAACAGCTATTTATCCAAGTCCCCAAAGCAGGCTGGGGACGAGGAGCTGTCTGTGATTCATGCTGGATGCTGGTGGACCTGGATTGTGTCCAGGCCTGCTTGGCTGCCAGCAGCCCTCAGAGAGAAGTGTTTGACTGCATTCATCCAGGGCTGGGGTGCTGTTCTCACAGAGACTGCTGCCGGGAAGGCAGAAAGCAGCCCAGTTCTACCCAGAGGGGGCTTGGGGTGACATGCCACAGGGGCATCCAGGGAAAGGTGGGAACCTAGTGCATTCACATACATGTGCCACCTGCACAGGGGAAGATTAGGAGGAGAAAGACCCATTGCTAATACGGCAATGATGTCCTCTATGCATTCGGACCACTGGCCATTTGCTGCTTTCTTAGGTTGGAGGTCATAAGAACTGAAAACAAAAAAAGTAAAAAAAAGGAAAACTTGTGAAATCCAAATAAGGTCAGTAGTTCAGTTCATAGCACCGTTTCAATGGCAGTTTCTTGGTTTGGAAACTGTACTGTGGCGGTGTAATGTGTTAACGCTGGGAGAGGAGTACACGGGAACTCTGTAGCATTTAGCAACTTCTATGTGGGTCTAAAACTATTTTAAAAGTTCACCTAGGAATGTGAGCCTGCTCTGTTAATTTTGGAGGTCCACAGTCCCCACTGCCCTTTCCAGGCATTTATGGCTGGCCAGGCCCCATGCCCAAGGGTCCATCAAGTCCTCACGCAGCTTTGGGAGATGGAACTATTAAATGTGCTAATGCAAGGACAAACACTTAGCACTGCGCTTGGCAAAGGGCAAAGACTTGGAAACTATTAGCAATGTTACTATATTATTCCCATTTTAAAATGAGGAAACAGCCCCCAGGAGTTGAAGTGATTTGGCCACTAAAAAGTAACTAAGATTGGCCGGATTTCAGATCTTCAACTTAAAAATCTTCTGCTGTCATGTTGACAAAGACTATTTGTAAAACCTCCTTGGAACTTCTTTTTTTTTGAATTTTTTTTTTTTAAGTATATGAGGTCTCAGATATTTTTTAAAAAAATATTTATTTTTTAGTTTTCGGTGGACATAACATCTTTATTTTATTTTTATGTGGTGTTGAGGATCGAACCCAGCGCCCCGCGCATGCCAGGCAAGAGCGCTACCGCTTGAGCCACATCCCCAGCCCTCCTTGGAACTTCTAACGGAGGTCTGATGGCCCTCCCTCCGTCCATGTCATGTGGGTCTCTTTTTCCTCTTCTCCCACCAGGGGCAGGAGATTGTCCTTGGGGGTTCGAACAGGCCTGATGCTGTGGTCAGAGGGGCAGAGGGTAGAGAAGCTGGGGCTAGGGGGACTGGCAGTGCAGTTCCTGAGCCTCTTCTGCCACTGGGGCTCATGGTCACACACTCAGCCCTGCTGGCTTTGTGCACAGGCACACAACACAAGCTGTCCTGGGGTATGTTATATGAGTGGCCTGATGCTCTGAGCCCTATAAGCAAAGTAGCATCTCTTTGGTGGGAGGTTCTCCTGTGTCCCCCATGAAGGTGAGAGTAGTCCCAGCTCCTCTAACCTTGTAGCCTCTTAAGGTCCCCTCAAGGCTGCACAGGGGGAAGCTGGGACATGGACCCAGTTCATTATAGAGTGGCCTGCCCTGCCTCTGATCTGCCTGACCGTCTGTGTTGCAGAGGACACCTACAGCTCTGAGGAGATTGTGGACCACCAGCCTGTCCATCTGAGGGTCATGGACACTGCAGACCCGGTAACGTTACCCTCATACCCAAGGAGGGCCAAGAATCAATGCAGCCTTCTGGGAAGTCCTGGCCTCAGAGGGGAATTTGGATCCCTTTTTAACCTCCAATTTGCTGCATGACCCTGAATGACTCCCATGGGCCTGAATCCTTCATTTGCTACCTGAGAGGATGGGATGGAACCTGGGGGGACCTGATGATTGCTGGTATCAGCTCTGATGTCCTGTGCTATGGGGCATTTTGGTCACATATGCAGAGACTGGCGCACACCTATTTATACAGACGTCCCTGATGAGAGCCTGTGGACCCAAGTGCCTCCAACATATCCCCCTCCCAGTTTCACCCCCAACTCACCAGCACCTATTAAGATCAGATGCCAGTTACTCTCAGAAGTCAAAGGGGAAGCATGAACCTAACCCAAACCAGTGGTGCCCAGGGATAGCAGGTCCCTATAGGGGCCATGCCAGAGTCTTTGGCTTTGGGCCCAAGGGGCCAAGGTCTCCTGCTCTCTGGCTGTGTGGTGGGAGGGAGGTTCGTGAGACAATGTCTCCTTTCATGCCAAGCCAAATCCACACTCAAGTGCTCCTTTGAAAAAGGCTGTGCTGGGGAACAATATACAAAGACCTGGGAGTGGGGGTAGGGGGCAGCTCAGGTGAAGGCCTTTACCCCCACCTTCTTGCCCCTGAGGGGGGGACTCCTCTTCTTCACCTCAGGATACCCCCAAGAACTGTGAGCGCTACCTGAACTGGGCCCACGCTTTCCTGGTAGTTTACAGCCTCGACAGCCGCCAGAGCTTTGAGGGCAGCAGCAGCTACCTGGAGCTGCTGGCCCTGCACACCAAGGAGACACAGCGCAGCTACCCCACTCTGCTGCTGGGTAACAAGCTGGATATGGCCCAGTACAGGTGAGAACGGGCAGCATGGCCCTCGCTCCAGAGCCCACACTCTATATTTGTAAAGGCAGAGTGGCATCTGCAGGCATTGGTTAGCAATCCCCCTGGAAATTAGGAAAAAGGGACGCTGGGCATTGGTCTCCCAGCAGACAAGGAGAGACAGGGAAGTGTATCTGGGCCACACAGGAGCTGAGTTTCCCAGAAGTCAGGAAAGAAGCCACTCCTATCCTCCTGTGTCTCTGTGGTCTGTCTCAGCACCACCCTTTCTTGCTTCAGTCGATGTGACCTCTGGTCCCACTCCTAGCAGCTGACTGGTCATTCAGTGCCCAATTCCAGAGAGGAGATCTGATTGACTCCTCGGGTCAGGTGTCTGCTCTGGACCAAGAAGCTTCTGCCTCACCCAAGCGCAAGCCCTGGGCTCACTCCTCCAGTTGGCTATGCTGAGGGCAGGATCTCTCAGAGAGGCTTGGACTTGAATCAGAGGTCACAGACTGGGCCAAAGGGCAGATGACCACAGAACACTGCAGCCATATTTTGCTTGGCTGGCACAGTGTTTTAAAAGTTCTGGAACTGGAATGCTTTGAGGTGGGGCCTGCTCCCTCCAGCTCACCAGAGGCCTTGCCCCACTCCCCGTCCTTTATCTCACCCTCTTCACACATTCAAGTCACCTGCCTGGCTCTGAGGCATTGGAGACAGTGGTGCCTATACTCGATGAGCAATCCCACTGGACTCTCCACCTGCCCTGCTTGTGGCTGCTCTCTCCTGATTTCCCAGGCCCCAAAGGCCTGTGACTGGCGTTAGCAGGGAAGAGACCTTTTGTTCAAAATGGGTCAGATAGGCATTGGCAGGAGGGAGTTGTTTTTTCATGAATGAGGTCACAGTAAGGCCTCTTCACAGGCCACCCAGTCCTCAGACCCAGACAAATTCTTGTTTCAGGGAATGCGGAAAGTCATGTGATGTTAAAAACACCAAGGCTGTCTTTGAGGAATTGCAGAACCTGTAAGGAGGGGGTCAGAAGACTGGATTGTGAATAGGCCAGATTTTAACATGGGGGAGAAAATTACAGACCACTATTTTGACCCCAGTCTTTGCCAAAGGGGATTGTCTAAAAATGGTGTGGGATTTTAGCTAATATGGGGCTTGAGTGAAACAACATCGGTTCCCTAGGAACATGCTGTGACAATTCACCTCCACTTCCTTCTTTGGTCAAGGCCCAGCATTGGTAGATCAGGGCTCCCTGGCACATTGACTCTTTCAACTGAGCATTTGTCAGTGTCTCCATGATTGTCTTGCAGCTGAGAGAGAATGGGGTTTAAGGCAGTAGTTTCCAAACCACTGACAAAATGTTCACTAGGCTGCAAACAACAATTAAAGAAAAGAGTAATGTCATGTGCCTGTATCACCCCCATGTGTATATGTTTTTGAAAATTCATTATTGAAGCCCCCACAGTGGCAGAGTTGTAGACTCAAACTCATCATAAAAGCAAATATATCCAGTTCTCTTTCAAAAGGGGATCCTCAGGAAGCAGTGAGCGCACAGACAGAACACCAGCCCCAGGTGGGAAGTGATTAGATATTCTGCCCCTGACCCTTTTGGTCCCAGTCACTCTCTCTCTCTCTGATGCTCCCACCCACTATAAAACAGTATGCTGGGCAACTAGCCTAACTCCTGCCAAACTAGTCTCGTCCCACCACTACGCACCCTAGTGTTTCCTCTCATCTCACGGGCTTGCCATTGTCCTCAGGAGTGGTGGGTGGGACCTTCAGCAGTGCCCAGCAGTCAGGTGGTGGTCAGAAGGATCCAGCCAGGGGAACCTTGGCCTCAGCCTTCAGGGACCTCCACCACTTCTCTCTCTCCACCTCACCTACCCAAAAGCCCATTTTTTTTTCACCTCAGTTCCCCACAGTTTTCAGGTCAGAAGCTTCCAGGACCTTCCCAGTTTCAGATATCTATCCTGTCACCTCAGGAGGCGGTGTCAGACCCAGCTGGAGTAGGGGTTGTTCCTCCTTCCTGTTTCCCTCTGCTAACCACAAAATGTCATCACCCTTGCTCTCTCTAACTCTCTACCCAGGCAGGCAGACAAAACTCCCCATGAACCCTGAAAGCTATGCCCTGGGTCACTTCTGTGGCCCATTTCCTGACCAAGGGACCCACGTTGGGATAGAGGAGAGATGGGACTGAGAATGGTCTTCTTATTCTGGCCATTGACAGGTCTAGCAGCCTCTTACACTCCTGCTCCTTCCTGAATTCTGGCTTTGGCAACATTAGCTAGCATTTATGGAGCACACTCTCTGTGCCAGGATTGTTATGCACTTGACACTAATTATATTTCTTAATTCTAATACCCCGAGAGGCAAATGATGTCATCCCATTGTACCGATGAGCAAACAGAGACTCAGAGTGATGAAGATGGGCAGAGGCGCCCAGCCAGAGGGTGGGAAGCTGGGCACAGGCCCCACTCTGCCTGACTCGGAGCAGCACGTTCCTGACTCCCTGCCTCGCCCTGCTTTCTCACCAGGCAGGTCACCAAGGCCGAGGGTGCGGCCTTGGCTAGCAGGTTCGGGTGCCTGTTTTTCGAGGTGTCTGCTTGCCTGGACTTTGAGCACGTGCAGCACGTCTTCCACGAGGCAGTGCGAGAGGTGAGGCGGGAGCTGGAGAAGAGCCCCCTGGCCCGGCCCCTCTTCATCTCTGAGGAGAGGGCCCCTCCCCACCAGGCCTCACTTGCCACCCGGCACGGGCTGGCCAGCTGCACCTTCAACACTCTCTCCACTGTCAGCCTGAAGGAGATGCCCACCGTGGCCCAGGCCAAGCTGGTCACTGTGAAGTCATCCCGTGCCCAGAGCAAGCGCAAAGCTCCAACTCTGACCCTGCTGAAGGGCTTCAAGATCTTTTGAGAGCCCTCCTCAGGAGCCCTGGCTTGACTGCTGGGCAGAGCTGCAGAATAGGGGCTGGTTTGTCACCACCAGTTTTTCCTCTGATGGACCTCACCCTCTGGTGGAAAGCTGGCCCCACCTCCAGCACCAAGCAGTGACCCTACATTCAGTTCATTGTGTGAGCCAGAGGGACAGGCAGGGATGCTGTTCCTGTTCCTGTCAGACCTCGGTTCTCACGGTAACCACTACACCTGTGACCCTGGAGGGAAAGAGCTACTGCGACAGCTCAGAAACCTGGGGTCAGCCTTGAGCAGGAAGAAACTGAAGTGTCCATCCTGCTGCCAGGATCCCTGCCTGCCAACTGTGGACCCTAGTGGATGGACAGCTCTGAGAGGCCCTGTCCCCGTGAAGGCAGTAGAGATGGCCCTGAAGGCCTAGCACCACCTAGTGGAGGGGAATGGAAGAGCGGCTGCTCAGAGGCCAGAACCTGGTCCTCCCACTGTCATCTTCTGACCTCATAGAAGCCCCAAGCAGCAAATTCTACAGTTTTTCCTGAAGAAAATTTAGTTAAAATAATTCTATTATTTTATCTGTTATATTATCTGGAATCAGGATACTCCCTGGGATCCCACTGTTAGCAAGAAAAGGCTCTCAGCTTGGACAGGGAAAAGTCCCAGGCAAAGGTATTTCCAGCACTTTGCCTCTCCATGCGGGTAAAAGGGAGGGGGCTGTAGGTTGCCCTGGGTAGGAAGACTAGCTCTCTCTCTCTCTCTTTTTTTTTTTAACCAACATCGGGGTCTTCTTGTACCTCCTTTGTTAAAGACAGTGTCCACAGACCCTCATGACCAGCCTCCTCAAGTTGAATGACCAAGGCTGCAGGATAGATTTGTTCTCTCTAGTGACAGTTCCCCAGAGCCCCAGGGAGCCCACAGCTGGTGGGATCAGATGCCACCTGGCGGATACTCATGGGTAGAAACAGTATACATGTCTGTAGCCTGGCTTGGCAGGACCCAGGATTCCTAGCAGTGGGTCGGAGACAAAACCTAGATCATTTGGGGTTAATAAAGCAGACTTTTGCATAAATCATTTGGTGTTACCACTGAGCTTATGGCTCAGATCTGGAATCAGGACACTCTCTGAGATCCCACTGTTAGCAAGAAAAGGCTCTCAGAGGCAGGGAGTGCAATCGTTTCCTAACTGTTTACCATGAATCCTCAGCAGATAAGCAGGTACAGGAGAGGACTCTGGTGGATAGAAGGGCCAACAAGGGAATTCTGACCCTGAAATCCTGCTCCTTCCCCTCTTAATCAGCAGTCCCAGGAGCTTGGATTGGAAACATCTCTAACATAGTTTTCAGCCCCACTCCAAAAAATGGAGAAGCTGAGGTTAGGGGGAGCCCACGAACTATTCAAGACTGCATACTGAGGGTCCTCGCCAGGGTTTCTGACCCACAGGCTGGCTGGGATTGTACACTTTACTCCAAGCCACTGTGTGTTTGTGGACCACCATTGTTTGAACAAACTATGCAATTCCAGCTGCCCACTCCCAGAAGCCTTTTAATAAAAGATTGTTTAAATAACAAATTTTAATTTGATTGAAGCTCACTCATTGAATCTGCTAATGAAAACATTAGGCTGGGGGGGGTGGGGTGGACTAAAACCAGAGACATTCCAGGCCATGAGGTGAGCTCAGGTTGGGATCCTGAGCCTGGGAGGGGAATGACACATGCTCTGAGCACTCACTGGATCTCAGTTTCTGATGGATCTGGAAGGAGGACCGTTGAGACATCTTTCTCTTTTAACTCAGGTCCCACCTGGGCCAAGTTTGGATTTCCTGAGAGCAGCATCTCTGTTAGGTTATTTAGGCTGTTGTTTTCTTTGGTTTTGGACTCATCCAAATGCAGGGCTTCTGGTGTTACCTTTTCTTGTGGCTGCATCTTTCGATTTCTGAGAGGAGAGGAAAGAGTATTGATCAGGGATGCTGAGGGAGTGGAGCAGGCCTGGCTCTCCCCAGTGGGTTAGAGAGTTTGAGGAGGAAATCCAGTGTACAGTCTGGGAGCCATTTGAGAAGAGTGGCCATGGTTTGACGTCCCTTCAATAAACAGCTTATACTTGCGTGTGCCTCACTTCATCAAATCCTTTACTGCCACTTGTGAGCCCAGCATTATTACCATCCCCCCTTACAGATGAGGAAATGTGGCTTACAGAGGTCAAAGAAGGCCAGGTGTGTGGTGCAAGCCTGTAATCCTAGCAGCTCAGAAGGCTGAGACAGGAGGATTGTGAGTTCAAAGCCAGCCTCAGCAACTTAGCGAGGCCCTAAGTTGTGGACCACCACTGTTTGAACAAACTATGCAATTCCAGCTGCCCACTCCCAGAAGCCTTTTAATAAAAGATTGTTTAAATAACAAATTTTAATTTGATTGAAGCTCACTCATTGAATCTGCTAATAAAAAACATTAGGTTGAGGGGGTGGGGGGGGGGACTAAAACCAGAGACGTTCCAACTCAAGATCCTGCCTCAGAATTTCAAAAATATATTAAAAAGGGCTAGAGATATGGCTTAGTGGTTAAGCACCCCTGGGTTCAATCCTCTTTACAAAAAAAAAAAAAAAGCCCAAGAAGCTCATACCTGAGTTGTATGCTTCAGTCTCCCCACTCTGAGTCCTGTTTCTCACCAAACCACACTGTACTCCCCAGGACTGTCAACTTAGTTAGTACAGGTCCTTGTGCTTCCACATCCTATCCCCTAAGATGCTGCAGGAAATTTCTATTTAACCTGTGTCTGTGTGTTTCCTTCTCCAAACCAGCCTATCCACACCACCAGTCCTGTGTATACAGCCCAGGCCCCCACACCTCACTCCCTGGCCCAACACCCTCATTGGCTTCCACCACCCACTTCCACAACCTGATATTCCTCCCACAAATCTGTCCTCTCTCCAAGTTGGTTTTACTTAAGATACCCCTAGAATGGAGGGGTCTAGCTCTGCTAAGAGCTGAGTATCCAGAGAATTCCTTGAGCCACAGAGGGTACAGGTCACTTTCTGTTGCTCCCGTGGATGGCCACATTGATTCATTTGACTTGCTGAGGCGATGTTCTCTGACAGGGGAAGAGGGGCAAGGCCACCTTCTTAATGGCTACCCTCCTCTGGATCATGCCATTTGCTGGTCAGCTCCAGGGGGTGGAAGTCAAGAACAATTGCTGGGTTTTCTTTTTCTTTTCTCTCTCTCTCTCTCTCTCTCTCTCTCTCTCTCTCTCTCTCTCTCTCTCTCTCTCTCTCTCTCTTTTTTCTTTCTTTCTGTTGTAGAGGGACACATCCCTTTATTTATGTTTTTTTAATGTGGTGCTGTGGATTGAACCCAGTGCCTCACACATGCTAGGCAAGTGCTTCTACCACTTGCAATCGTGATCCTCCTGCCTCAGCCTCCTGAGCTACTGGGATTACAGGCCTGCACCACCACACCTGGCCTTCTTTGACCTCTTTAAGCCACATTTCCTCATCTGTAAGGGGGGATGGTAATAATGCTGGGCTCACAGGTGGCAGTAAAGGATTTGATGAAGTGAGGCACATGCAAGTATAAGCTGTTTATGAAGGGATGTCAAATCATGGCCACTCTTCCCAACCACAACCACAGCCCAGTTGCTGGTTTCTTAACAGCTTTGTGTTCTCAAAGGACCCTGAGGCAGCATTTTGTCCAAAAAGGCAGATAGCCATGGACTCTAAATGACCCCTTCCTAGATTTCCTCTGGGAAGGCAGTGCCCCTACCTCCAGGACCACCCCAGAGCAGCTCCTCACCTGTTTGCCTGGATGCTCCTTCCCAGGAGGGCAAGGCTTATGACCACCACCACAGCCGCCAGGGCAAGGATGGAATAATTCCAAGGAGACCCTGAGGAGGGACATGCAGGACAGAGCCTTGAGGAGAGGCCAGGTGCCTCTCAGGCCCACTAACAATTGGGGCTTGGGCTCAGACCAGCTCACAGCATCGATTGTGCCCTGCTGTGGAGACCCTTGTCAAGGATGATGAGCCCTCTGCACCAGGGCAACTGCCAGTGGGCAGGGGGATGACACCATGCCTACCCTAGAGAAGCCCTGGTCTAAAGGGGGGGGGGGCAGCACTGCAGTTGGAGAATAGTGGGGGAAAGAGAGTCAGGGGGAAAAGAGGTAAGCCAAGACAAACTTCCTAGTCTCCCATTTTGCCTCCTGTGTACTTCAAGGAAAGAAAGAAAGAAGGAAGGGAGGGAAGGCCGGGAGAGGAAGGAGTGATGGTCAAGCTGCCTAGAGATGGTACATAAACTGGCTAATCTGAATTTGGCTACTCAAGATTTGACCACAGTGGGCTGGGATTGTGGCTCAGTGGTAGAGCTCTTGCCTGGCACTTGTGAGGCACTGAATTCCATCCTTGGCACCACATAAAAATGAATAAATAAAATAAAGGTATTATGTCCATTTACAACTAAAAAAATTAAAAATTTTTTAGAAGAATATTACTCAAAAAAAAATTGTCCACAATATCAAAATGAGGTGGGGTCCGGCCTCAGGACATTTACATGTGCTGCTCCTATGACAGGAATGTTCTTCCCCCATATAATCTGCATGGCCAATTCCTTCCTCTTTCTCTGCTTAATTTTTCATCTTATTACACATCATCAATACGCTGTGCGTGTTAGTCATTTACCTTGTTTATTTTCTATCCACTAGAATGCATGCTTCGCAAGGGCCGAGATTTTTCTGTTTTACTCACTACTGTAATCCTAGTGCTGAGAAGAGCACACAGTAGGAGCTTAATAAATATAGCTGTGATGACTGGGTGGCTGAGTAAATGACCACACCCTGAAAAAAAGAGGGTGAGATTCAGCCAAACCCCTCTGGGTAGCAAGACATCTGGTCTCAGTCCCTGTCCTGGAGGGAATGTGCTGACTGATGTATGGGAGGGGGCTTTGGCCAAACCCTGCTTTGTGAGTTGGGGAGTGCCACTGCCCCACCCACCAGCCAGTCCCTCACCACTTACCATCTTCTACACGAAAAACCCAAACCATTTCTTCCAGCAGCTCCTGAGGCACCACAGTGCCAGCTGGGACTCCAATAACCTCTTTGCTGAGGTCCATGTTCCTTGTCCTCGTTAGGGTATGTTTCTGGCACTGAAATCCTTAGGCCCTTTAGCCACAGCTGCTCTCCTGGCCTCTCTTGGGTTCTGGTCCCTGAGCAGAGAAGCCCTGAAGCCCCTGGAAACAAAGCAGAGAGCATGACTGGATATCCCAATGCACCTTTACCTCCCTTCTAGGCAAAAACGCAGGTTTTCTCTGGCCCAGGGTTTCAGGACCAAAACAGCCTCAGTCCAGAAGCAGGTGGGACCTGGGGCCATAGAAGTAGGAATGACTCGATTCTTTATTAAAACTCATCACATGGGAGAAGAGCAGCACCAGTCTAGGAGGGAAGAGGACTGGCCCAGTGACAAGCCATGGAACCCTGGCAGAGGTTGTATGGAATCCCTGCCTCTCTAGCCTGCCCAGCATCCCCACCCACCTCTACACCCATAGCACTCCTCAGCAAACTGTCCCACCCAAAGCACTTCATCTCCTATGGTAGCCAATCACAGGCCTTTGTCTCATGTGTTAAAGCTGAGGCTTGGCTCACCTGAGACCAAGAGCTGGGAAAAGAAGAGCCAGAGAAAAGCCACTACCTTACCCCAGGCCCGACTAGTGAGTGCTGCCTGCAGTTTGGCAACACCCTGAGAAATTTTTCTTTTCTTCCTTACCTTCCTTCCTTTCTTCCCTCCTTCCTTCCTTCCTATTTTTTTTTTTTTTTGGTACTAGGAATTGAACTCAGGGGCACTCGACCACTGACCCACATCCCCAGCCATATTTTGTATTTTATTTAGAGACAGAGTCTCACTGAGTCCTTTTTCTTTGGTACTGGGGATTGAATCTAAGAGTGCTGTAACACTGAGTTATATTCCAGTTATTTTTATTTCTTAGTTTGAGACAGAGTCTAGCTAAGTTGCTGAGGCTGACCTTGAACTCAAGATTCTCCTGCCTCAGCCTCCTGAGTTGCTGGGATTATAGGTGCACTCCACAGACTTTCGCCTATACCCTGTCCTTTCTCTCCCCCCCCCCTCCTTTCTTTCTTTGTCTCTCTCTCTCTCCTTTTTGCCTTCCATTCTTCCCAAGAACTGGAGCCTATGTTCCCTGGATAAATCCCTTCCTTAATTTGAGTTTATATCCATCCCTGAAAAATAAAGCAGGTTATCTATGTTGACCAAACCTCAGACAATCTCAAAACAGTCACAAATTTTGACATATTTATGTATTACCTTACTATTACTACTTAATTAAAAATTTCTAATATCCATAAAGAAATCGTAAAATTCATTTTGACAATATATTTGGTTCAAACCAATATTTCCCAAATATTTCAACATGTGATCAATATAAAAATTTTTGAGATATTTTATATTTTTTCGGTACCAAGTCTTTGATATTCAGTGTAAATCTTATATTTACTGCATATTCCCACTAGCCACATTTCAAGTGCTCAATGGCCACCTGTGGCTGGCAGCTCTTGTACCAGACAGCTCAGGTCTGTGCCTCAGCCTGGGGACAAGGCTTGACAGCTGGTTTTATGCCTCTGGCATAAAAGCCACAGGATGTGATAGGTAGGCCTTGGGCAGAGAGCCAGCTCCCCCCCCCCCCTCCACCTTTGGTTAATGGTGTTTAGGTGTTCTGCTCTGAAGAACAGAAGAGGAATTAAAAAGGTAGATGCAGAAATTAGGAAAGTAGAGATGAACAAAGCCAAAAGCCAGTTTGTTTTTGTTTATATGTGATACTGAGGATTGAACCTAGGGACACTCCACCACTGTAATATATCTCTAGCCCTTTCATAGAACTTCTATTTTGAGACAGGTTCTCACTAAGTTGCCCAGTCTGACCTCAAATTTGGAGATCCTCCTACTCAGCCTCCTAAATTGTTAAGATTACAGGCATGTGTTGCTGTTCCTAATTCCAAATACAGTTTTTATTTTTTCACCTGTCCAAGATTTTATTAGCGGGACCATAGCGGTCAGTCGCAGAAGGGAAGGGAGTGGAGAGAGAGAGGAAAGAGAGGAAAGAGAGGGGGGGGGGAGAGAGCCCAAACACAGAGAGGGGGAGAGGGGGAAGAGGGGGGGAGAGGGAAGGAGAGAGGGGGGAAGGGGGAGAGAGGAGGAAGGGGGGAGAGGGGGGGGGGAGGGGAGGGGGCGGGGGAGAGGGGAGGGGGCGGGGGAGAGAGAGAGCGCGCGGCACGTGCACACTAGCAGGGTGTTGATATTTATGGGCTCAACGTGGGAGGAGGAGGAGCAGGGCGAGTGGGCTGTTACTTCTTTATTGGCCGAGAGTTCGCGCCACTTCAGGGATTGGAGGTGCGCCATTCAAAGTTCGTACCATTCACCGGGATTGGAGGTGATGGTTCGCGGGTGTGTCATGGACCTGAGCTCCCGGAAGACAGCGCTCTGGGCGCCATCTTTACCAACATTCCTCCTTTTTTGGTTTTGGTTTGGGGGCGCCGTACTAGATCTGGCTACTTCCTGCTGAGTAGGGGCCTCGTTTAGAGGGAGGGAGGGAGGTCAGTTGGTTGGAGCAGAAGGGCCAGGAGGCCCCATATCCATGCACTGAAGGCATGGATTTCCTCTGGGGAGAAGTCCATGAAGTTGCCCTGCAGCTATGAAAAGAAACAGCATTAATTTCTGGCATGTCGTCCAGTCTGTAGGGCTGGTAGAAAAAGGCCTATGCCCAGGAGAAGGCAGATTAGAACATATAAAGCTGAAAACCAAAGAATATTTCTTTGGAATGGTGGGGTAGAGATGGCCCTTCAGTGGAGTTGTCATTTGGTATCTTCATCTTTCAGCACTTGGTGGAGGTTTCTTGGGATGAGTGGACATGAGTGTCGTCCAGCTCTTTGGCAAGTAGCTGGTAATCCCTGAGGAGGAAAGGTAAATCTGGGCGATTGTGGGGGTCCTGCAAGGTTGGGAGCTGTGGTGCGATTGTCCTCCGGAGGGCGTGCAACCGGTTTTAACCAATCCGCAGGCTGGTGGTGGATGTCTGGCAGGTGATCAGACAAGTGGACTGTGACAGGAACGGTTGGGCTCGGAGTTTGGGAACAGGGTTTCGCCTTGAGTGACGGGGATCCCCGTCCTGGTTTCGGCACCAATGTAGGAACGGCAGAAAAGCTCCATAAACTCAACAAACCGAAACAACCATTTATTTACCTGTCCGAGATTTTATTAGGGGGACCATAACGGCCAGCTGCAGAAGAGAAGGGGGGAGAGAGAGAGGAGAGAGAGAGGGGGGAGAGAGAGAGAGGAGAGGGGGAGAGAGAGAGGGAGAGAGAGAGAGCCCAAACACAGCTTTTAAAAGTATTAATAAGACTTGGGTGTGGTGGTGCATGCCTGTAATCCCAGAGACTTGGAAGGCTGAGGCCAGAGGATGCAAGTTTGAGACCAGCCTCAGCAACTTAGCAAGGCCCTAAATAACTTAGCGAGACTCTGTCTCAAAATAAAAAATAAAAAGGGCTGGGGATGTGGCTCAGTGATAAATGACCCTGGGTTCAATCCCTGGTATTAAAAAAAAAAAAAGTATTAATAAGATGGATCTGCATCAAGATGGATCCAGACCTTAACAAAATGCAGACAAATTATAGAAACAAAGTGGCATCAGAAGTTTTAAAATAATAGAAGTGTATTTTGAATTATATGCTAATAAACTAGGCAACCTCAATGAAATGGATAAAATCCTAGAAAAACAAAATATCAAACCATCCAAAGCAGGAACAAAAAAGTTTACAGACCAATAAATAATAAAGAAATTAAAATGATAGTTCACGACCTCTCCAAAAGTTAATCCTAAATCTGGATGGCTTTAATCATAGGTTCTAATAAGCTTTTTTTCTTTTTTCCTTTTGTTTCTTTCTTTGTTTTTTTTCCCCGATGAGATCTTACTATGTAGCCTAGATTGACCTCCAACTAGAGATTCTCCTGCCTCAGCCTCCCTAGTAGCTGGGATTATAGGCACATACTACCACCCCCAGCTTGTCTAATAAACTTTCAATAGGCAGCTCATTCTTATTTTGAACAAGTTTTCCCACAAAATAAAAAACTAGATGAGGACAATATGAGGAGAGAGCATGATAGGCCCCATTCACCTATGAAAGTGGATGCAAAAATCCTAAATAAAATCCAAACAAATCATAAATAAAATTTAAATTCAATAATGTATTAAGAAATCATTATCAAATAAATTTAATGCCAGGAATGGAAAAACAATTTGACATTAAAGTGTATCAATGTAATTCACCATATTAATAGGCTAAATGAGAAAAAATGTGATTAACATGTCTGATAAAATCTGCTAAAGGGCTGGGCATGTAGCTCAGTGGTAGAGCCTGGGCATGTACAAGACCCTGGGTTCAATATTTAAAATTCCTACATCAGGAGTTCTTATTTAATAGACATAGTTTTAGTTTTATAAGATAAAAAGAGTTCTAGGATGGCTGGTAGTGATGGTTATTCAACAGTGTCAATGTTCGTAGTACTACAGAGCCATACACCAAAAGATGTTTAAGATAAAAAAATTTGTTATGTGAAAAAAAAAAATTCTAAACCGGGTGTGGTGGCACATACCTGTAATCCCAGCAGCTCAGGAGGTTGAGACAGGAGGGTTTCAAGTTCAAAGCCAGCCTTAGCAAAAGTGAGGCACTAAACAACTCAGTGAGACCCTGTCTGTAAATGAAAGTACAAAGTAGGGTTGGGGATGTGGCTCAGTGGTTGAGTGTCCCTGAGTTCAATCCCTGATACATATATATATATATATATATATATATATATATATATATATATAACATTAAGTGGGGAAACTTTAAATATATTTGCTTTAAGGCAACAGCTTACTGACTGCACTTGACCATTGGTTTAATCTAGATCTTGGGATCTTGGCAAATACTCTAATAGAGAAAAGAAAAAGAAGTGCAAAATGGATAGGAAAGAGACAAACTTGTAATTTGCAGATACAAATTATTTACCTGGAAAAACAATTAGAATGAGTAAAAGCATTCATTAGGGTTACTATATCAGTAGCATTGCTCAGATTATTAGTGGGTTGGGAATTAGATAAAAACAAGATATCATTTGCAATAGCTTCTAGGTTAACCTAGCCAAAAATATAAATGATGTAAATCTTATGTATGATGAAAATCTTAACTTTAGAACAAGAAAAAGGTGATCTAAATAAATAACAAAAATGTCATTATCCTTGTGTCAGTCAAATTCACTGCAATTCCAATCAAAATGGATTTTTGAGGACCTTGAGTAATTTGATCTAATAGTTACACAGAAAAATAAATGTCTACAAGTAACTAAGTCAATCTTGGGGGTGGGGATGAAGAGGAGAGATTAGCCCCACCAAATATGGAGACACAATAATAAAGATTGTGGTTTTGACACAAGACCAGACACTAGACTGAGGAATCAGAATAGAATTTGAGAAAGACCTATCTACACATGGGAACTTCATATACAATATCTCTAACAACTGCAGGGAAAGGAAGAATTATAGTAGGGACTTGGAGGCTGTTTTTGCAAAAAGCACTGACTCTTCACTTGGGCCTGCAGATGCCTGATGGGTAACTAAAAGTAGGATAAAAACTTGCATCTCTGCCTTTGCTTTATTTCTGTCTCCTTTGCCTTGAACTCTGGGTCAGATTCCTGTACTTAAGCATGTTAATCATTTAAGGAGCATCCACTGAAAGCTGGTAATCCTCTCCAAGAATGAAGATGTCAAGATAAGAGTAACTTTAAGTTATTTTCAACAGATTATCAATTGCCAGCTTTACGACATCCTGTCCCAGACCCCTGGAGTGGCACCTAGAAGTCTTTAGTCATTGCCCTAAATTTATTTCCAGAAACAGTGAAGCCTTGCAAGCAGATCACCCCACGACATGACTGCCTCCTAAATAGGAGCAATCATCTCATGGGAAACAAATTGCCACCCTTTCCAGGATCACAGATCTGATAGAAACACATCACGTGAAGAAAAATGAGATTGCTCCTGAGCAGCAACCAGGCAATTTCCTAGGCATCCAAAGCAGACTCCTATCACTGCCCCCTCCGCAGCAGTAATTTTCTTAATACTGATGAGACTCAGTGCCATCAGAACTGAGATAATGATCAAACAGACCCATCTGACCAAGTCTGCTTGGCTGTGTATACTTCTTGTCCCCTTCTCTACGTAATCTTGGAGCTCATGTCAATACCCTCCAAAGACAGGACTGTAACACTTGATCTGCCTTGTCTTCCCAATGTAGTTCTACTGATCAATCCTTTCCTGCCTTTCACCATTACTCTTTCCATTTGATTTCCAGGGTGAGCTCCCCTGTGGCCTAGGACTCTAGTAACAGAATTATTTAGTAGATAGTGTAGGGAAAACTGGCTCACCATATGGAGAAAACACCAAAGAGGTGCATGTCTAACAAACTGCACTTACAAAAAACAGACTCAAAATGAATGAAAGGCCTAAATGTTAGAGGAGTAATACAAAGTCAAGGTCAGATGTAGTAGTGGCACACAGCTATAATCCCAGCTACTCGGAAGGTTGACACAATTGCAAGTTTGAGGCCAACATGGGCAATTTAGTAAGACTCTGTTTCAAAATATAAAATAAAAAGGCTGGGAGGGGCTGGAGTTGTGTGTGGCTCAGGGGTAGAATGCTCGCCTAGCACATGTGAGGCCTGGGTTCAATCCTCAGCACCACATAAAAATAAATAAATAAAATAAAGGTATTGTGTCCAACTACAATTGAAAAATAAATATTAAAAAAAAAGGGCTTGGAATATCTCAGTGGCAGATCATCCCTGGATTCAAACTCCAGTATCACAAAAACAAAACAAAAAGTTAAGAGAAGGTAAGTAGGACTTCCTAAATAAAACCATGAAAGTTCAAATCATTCAATAACAACATACATTTATGAATTTGCATCAAATGTATACAAATATTTTATTTATTTTCCTGAATAAAACTATGAAATTTCAAGCCACTCAATAACAACACACATGCATGAATGTGCATCAAAAATAAAGATACCTATTCTTGAATAAAGTAACAAAAACATTTCCATTTGGGATAAGGTACTTGCAATACTTAATACCAAGATGGGATTAATATCTAGAATACACAAAGAATTCTTGCAAATCAACAAGAAAAAATCATGAACCCCAATAGACAAACTGATGGAAGATGTAAATTGGCAATTCTCAAAGCAGGAAACTCAAAAGGCTTGGAAGCATATGAAGAAATGTTCAGGGTTGGGCTTGTAGCTCAGTGGTATAGTGCTTGCCTACTATATACGAGGCATTGGGTGTGATTCTCAGCATGGCATACTTAAATAAGTAAAATAAAGGTCCATTACTAACCAAAAAAATATTTTAAAAAAATGTTCAGACTCCTTGGTAATCAGAAAAATGAAAAGAAAAAATGAGATGCCACTTGACATCCATTGGAGATTAGCATTGTTTGAAAGCTGGATGGGGCCACCTGTTGAGGGGTTATATAGCCTTAGGAATTGAGTGATAGAGGGAGTGGCAACAAGGCAACAACCTGGAGAGAAAATTAGTCAAATAAGATGTATACACCTCCTGACACTGCAGTCCTGCTCCTGAGAATGTACTAAAGAAATCATCCTCAGGAGGGTGTCACGAGCCATCCGTGGTTTGCATGTGGGTCACCCCACATGGAAGCCTCGTGGACAGAGACATCTTGTGCCTGGAAATGGCCAGTGGACATTTCCTCTGGTCAGTTGCCCAGGGACAATGTGAATCTCTTTCCCACTCTGCTTTGGCCTACGCAGCACTTGAGGTAGGTGTGACCTGCCAAGATGTCAATCAACCTTCTGACTGCAAGACATCAAGAAGCGAGACTCCACTCTTGAAATCTTATCCCTGCCTTTGGTGTAACCCCTTAAATAAACCACCAGAGCCATTTTCCCTTTGTCTAGTTCCAGAACCCAGGTGCACTAGATCTATCAGGGGCTTCGTGTTATGTAAATATATTTCTGAGTATCTGTGTTTTGTTGTTTATTAGTTATCTGAGATTGTAAGTTTTAGGGTGACTTGGATTCCCCTGGGCAGAAAGAAGAACCCCTTCAAGAGACACTGGCTGTTGTTAATCCCCTGGAAAGGAAGGATCTACCAAATGTTTGTGAATATTCAAAATATATACACACAAGCGACAACACCTATTTTTACAAGAACCCATTTCTAAAAGGATACACATTAAACACATTAGGACAGTTGTCTCTGGGAGAGGAGGAAAATGGGAGCAGGAATGGAGATAAAAGTAATCAGAGAAATTAAACAAAAGGGTAAGGAACAGACTCACCATGAATACACAGCCTGGAACCCTGGTAAGAAAAAACGGAAGGTAAAGAGAGCAAGCCAGGTGATGTCAAGTTCATGAGCTCAGCAATCTCAGCCTGAAACAGAAATAGCCTTTGGACATTAGGTCAGACTTGTTCACAAACAACTGAATGGCCAAACTGAAAAACGGATATTAACCAAAGGACTAAATTGATACCAGTGTTTTCTCCAGCACTAAATGCTCTGAGAAAACTGAAGGAACATCAAAAGATTTTAAGGGAAAATATTTTGACATGAATATAATGCCGAGTTTTTTAGATTTTTCATGAATGATCACACGTCAAGGTGGAGATGTTCACTACCTACTTCCTCATCAGAAGGATAACATGGAAAGACAGAGTTACAGGACGGCTAACAGACGTGATCTTGTCTTCCAGCTGCAATTGACTATTCAGAACACTGTTCTAAGGATCGAGCTGGTCTATACAATCTCAGCACCTGGGTTAATTAGTAACATCAGCCACAGGCCCCTGTCCCATATGCTAATCCCCCGTGCCCACAGAGAAAGGAGTGTGGAGGTCAGGACTGACAACTGTCTCCCTCTGGGGAGTGGGATGGGGCCTAGACAAGTGGGGTGTTCACTTTGAACCCTTTGGTATTACATAGACCTTTTGCAAGTATGAACTACATTCATGACAATAAATGTAATTATAGTTTGTGATACTGAGGATTTAACCCTGAAGTGCTCTACCACTGAGTACACCCCCAGTACCTCCCCTCTTTTTTTTTTAATTTTGAGACAAGGTCTTACTAAGTTGCCCAGGCTGGCTTGGACTTGCCATCCTCTTGCTTCAGCCTCCCAAGATGCTGGGATCACAGGAGTGTGTCATCATGCCAAGCTTGTATAAAATTTTCAGTGTGTGTGTGTGTGTGTGTAGTATAATCTCTGTGTGGGGTACATGTATGTGTCTGTGTGTATGTATGGTTCTGGGGATTGAACCCATGGCCTCGCACATGCTAAGCAAGGGCTCTACCACTGAGCTACACTGCCAGCCTCTATTGTATAGCTTCTGAGACACCAATTCCAATTTTGAATATTTAATTAATGAAATGAATCAAATAAATGTAGAGTTGCAAATAGCCTGATGTCTGTGGTGGAGTATGAATTTTTAAAATGTATAATAATGTCATAATAAATACATATCAACCAGCAAAAAATCAAAATGAAGATTGTTATAAATCCAAACTGAGACTCAATCTTCCCTCACTTCATTAAATGCCCCCCAAACAAAGGAAAGTGCCAGAGGACTCATGCAGTTTACCTCTAGAGTGACATCATGTTATTACTCTTTTACTGATGAATTAAACGTCATGCTTTATTTGGATTTTATTGATTTTCTTATTAATGTCCTTTTTCCCATTCCAGGATCCCATCCAACACATCCAACATTTAGTTGTCCTGTGTCCTTAGTTTCCTCTAGGAAATCCCTGAATTTTAATCAGGGCTTGGCCATCTGCCATTGGCTGTGATTTCTGCCAAAGACCCTAGACCACCACCCCTGTGGTAGGTTGAGAACACTCACCCTGGATCCTGGTTCCTGGAGCCTTGATCTGCTGATGGGTGCAGCACTGATTTCTGTGGTGTCCTCTTCCTCCTCCTCACAGGACAGTCTCTGCAGCTGAGCTATCCCCAGAAAGGTGCACTTGTGGCCTGGTGGGGACAGTGCCAGCAGGGGCTATAGCAAATGGAGCTATAACAAATGGGCCCATCTGGTAGCTCTGCCCTTAGCATACGCCCAGACTTGTTGCCTTTGCAGTCACTCTGGGGTGACTGACCTCTTGACTGAGTGGCCTTAAATGGCAAGCAGGCTCCACCTGCCTTTCACAATCTGAAAGAATCAGGAGCTCAGTGCATTCCATCATAGTGGAGGGCCCCCTCCAGGCCTGTGTTTCTCGTTATTATCAATCTTTAACTAAAGAGCAGGAGTCAAGGCTGGCTTTTTATAGCCTTTGCTTTCTCATAGTGAAGGTCATGCATCATGTGAATTTCTTGAAAGGAGCTATAAAATCAGACCTTTGGAGGGTGGGGTTGGGGAAGACTGTGTGATTACAGAGGAGGAGCAGGAGCAGGCTTGACACCTTGGGGAGGGAGCAGGAGTCAGGTGCTCCCCTTACCAGGCCAGACCCATTTAATTCTGTGAACCCTGGGCTTTTCTACCCAGTGTCTCTGCATCTCCAGCAACCACTATCATTGGCTCAGAAAGGGGTTTTCATTCCATAAATGCAGAAATAGAGGCTGAGTGAGGTTGAGTGTCAAGCTGAAGTTCCTTTATGAGTTAAGCTGTGGTCAGCAGTGTGGATGACAGCATAGTGCAGAGGGAAAGAGACCCAACCAGGAACCTGAGGGCACATGGAACCCTAGCTCCTTACCACTCTGTAACACATTCATTCATTCATCCACTCAGGAAATATTACTTAAACACCTACTGGGTGTATACAGGGTAAACTAGACAGGTGAGGACACTGCTGTCTTGGAGCTCAAACTCCAGGGGAGGTAGGCAAAGTAAGACATAAACGAGATAACTGCAGTTAGTGATAGTTTCTGTGACGTTTACACAACATAATGATCTAGAAAGAGATGGGGTGGGTAGCTATGATTAATATATTACTATGCTAAAAAATGAACACTGAGTTAACCATGCAAAGACCTAGCACAGCAGGTCGAAGACACTGAAGAAATTATGAGCTTAATGAGCTGGAGAAACAAACAGTGGCCCAGGGGCTAAAGCCCACCTGATGAGGGGAAGTGGCTTGAGAATCCTTCAAACTTTCTTTCTCTGGCTCTCTTCCTCTTCCTGCTTCTCTCTGTATTATGACAGGGACAGAAAGGCTGACTTTGCTAAAAGCAGTGACTCTTCATTTAGGCCTGCAGATGCCCAGTGGGTAACTGAAAGCAGGGTAAAACTTGACATCTCCACCTTCATTTTATGTTTGTCTTCAGGTCTCTGCTCACCTCTGCATATAGGTATATTAATAATTTAAGGAGGGTTCATCTGAAAACTATAATACAAATTTCATTAGCCCTAAATTTATCTAGCCTATCTTGCCCATTTTCAAAACTGAGGCAAAATTTGTAGCATCCTGGAGTGAACCTGAAAGAAGTCTTCAGTTGTCCTACACCTTCCAGGAATGGTAGGAGGCAGTACATCACCCCTCTATGAGATGGACCCCCTAAACAGGAGCAATCAGCAATCATCTCATTGCCCCCTCCCAGGATCACAGGTCTGTTAGATAAACATACTAAGCAACAAACAGAAACTCCCTCAAACAAGAACTTAAAAGTCACTTTATAAAACCAAACTGAGAGACTATCAATCAGACCACAGTTTGACCAAGACTAATTATACTCACCTCTCACTCCCATCCAACTCTTTTTCTTCTTAAAACTTCAGTTCAGACCAGGTTGGTGGTGCAGGACTGTAATCTCAGCAACTCAAGATAAACTGAGGAGAAAGTTTCACAAATTGGAGGCCAACCTCAGCAACTTAGTGAGAACTTATCTCAAAATAAAAAATAAGTTCACAGGTAAGCATCCCTGGGTTCAATCTGCAGAATTTCAAAAACAAAATGAAACAAACAAACAGAAAACCACAATTCAGCTGGTTGTGGTGGTACATGCCTGTAATCCTGGCTATTTAGGAAGCTGAAGCAGGAGTTTTGCAAGCTCAAGTTCAGCCTGGAAAAATATATATTTTTTTAATATTTAAAATATTTTTAAAAATATTTGAGCAGGGCTGGGTTGTGGCTCAGAGGTAGAGTGCTTGCCTAGCATGTGTGAGGCACTGGGTTTGATCCTCAGCACCACATAAAAATAAAATAAAGATATCGTGTCCACCTATAACTAAAAAAAAATAAATATTATAAAAATATTTGAGCAAGGTGCGATGACGCAGCCTGTAATCTCAGAAGCTTGGGAGGCTGAGACAGGAAAATCACGAGTTCAAAGCCAGCCTAAGCAACTACAAGGTGCTAAAGCAACTCAGTGAGACCCTGACTCTAAATAAAATACAAAATAGGGCTGGGGATGTGGCTCAGTTGTCAAGTGCTCCTGAATTCAATCCCTGGTACCCAAAAATAAATATTTGAAATTTTTTTTTAGTTGTCAATGGACCTTTATTTTTGTTTATTTATATGTGGTGCTGGGAATCAAACCCAGTGCCTCATACATGCTGGGCAAGCACCCTATCCCTTAGCCGCAACTCCAGCCCCTGAATCATGTTTTTGTAAGAACATTTCAACCCCTCCACTTCTTACTTCTGCCTGGAACACATATATAATGGCTCAAAGGACATTCTAGGGCCAAGGTCATTGAATGATAATCAATGGGACAAATCTGACCTGCAGCATTTTTTTTATTAATAAAGTTTTATTGGAACATGCCAGGCCCATTTGTTTACATAGTATCTATGATTGCTTTATTGCTACATTAGCAGAATCTACCAGTTGTGACACTGATTATAGGTCCACAAAGCCTGAAATATTTAGTATTTGGCTCTTTACGGAAAAAGCTTGCCCACCCAGAAGACAAGATAGAAGAAATTGGGGTTCTTGAGAGATTTCATGGAGCTGAGCAGTCTATTTGCCCCTGGGCCACCTGCCCACTTCTGGAATGCTATGGGAGAAAAAAATGTGGGGATCTCTGTTACAGAAATGTAGACTAGACTATAATGTAACAAATATATGCACCACCCATGTTCAATAACTTGGCTGAATAAGTGAAGAACCTCTGTCTTTCCATCCTTGCCTCTGACTAGCTGTATGACCTTGAGCTGGTAGTCATTTAGATCGCAATTCCTTCCTTCCTTTCTTCCTTCCTTCTGTCCCTCTTGTATTTCACTATGTTTTTCAGGCTGATTTGAAACTTGTGATATCAAGTGATCTGCTTGCCTCAGCCTCCTGAGTAACTGGGACTCCAGGCAAGCACCAGACCTCAATTTCTTATCCAACAAAATAAAGTTTTATTTTTTTTAAAAAATATTTTTTAGTTGTTGTTGAACTTTTATTTTTGCTTATTTGTATGTGGTGCTGAGAATCGAACCCAGTGCCTCACGCATACTAGGCAAGCGTGCTACCGCTGAGCCACAACCCCAGCCTCAAATAAAGTTTTATAAGGACTAAAAGGAGAAAGTATTTTAGAAATTATTATCAATAGGGGGCAACTGTGTCATGATAAAGTCCAGGCACCCTTTAAACTTGGAAGTTTTCACTGGGACCAAGCAGTTACCTTTTCTACTCAACAAGGTAAAAACCCATGAGGAAAAACTTTTTCCTTGTGGAAATACATGCTGAGCTGTCCAGGGTCCTGACCCCCTCAGCTGGGGCATTTTAACCTCAGCCCAGGGATAAAGGTTGGGTAAAGTCCTGTCCTGAACTCTAGGGTCCAAGGGGAAGCATATTCTTGCTTCTCATCCTCCTACCTCCCCATAGTAAAGGCATAAAACCTGCTAAGGCTTCAAGGTGGTGGATGCTGCTTTGTACTTCTAGGTCGAGTTGTTCTGCTCTTCAGAGTAGGCTGTTCACTGTCAGTTGATGCCAGGAGGGGCGGACAGGTCCCTGACTAGCTGTAGGTTCTTGTGTGGGTGTTACTGGGGATTGACTCTGGGGTGCTGTAAAACTGAACTTCATTCCCAGCCCTTTTGATTTTTTCTTTTGAGACAAGTTCTCACTAAATTGCTGATGCTGGCCTCAAACTCCAGATCCTTTTGCCTCAGCCTCCAGAGTAGCTGGGATTACAGGCTTAAGCCACCACCTGGTGAAGGCGTTCCTGCACCCGCTGTCTGACAGGGTCACAGCATGGCGGTTGCTGCAGCAAGGCCGCACCATCTGAAAACTGGAACCATTAGGAATGTTAAGTGTTTTGTTTATGATACTCATGATATGGATAACAGGGTATATGTCAACCAATAATAAAAGTATGTATTGCCTGAGATTGCAGGAAAATTCCCAGAATGAGACTAAGGATACAATGGAGACATGCCATGAGGTGCGTTTCAATATCTCTCAGGATACGAACAATGGTGTTATTCCTCAAGCCTAAGCAACAAGAAATATTTATCCCATGGTTAACAATTTACACTAGCCCCCCCAACCCCACCCTAAAGCACAACCTGTACAGTAGCCTAGCTACAGAAAAACAATTGCTGTTCCAACAGTAGAGGGACCACCATATACAGTTTATGCTATCCCCTCAAGGACAAGAGGCTAATAAAAATACATTCCCCAACCAATAGACCCTCCTTTGCTTTACACAGAAACTTATGATGAAAATGGAAAACACATCGTTAATATAAATGACAAATGAGTTGAGGTATAAAGTCTGCCCTTTAGTTAAAGATTACAAATAAATAAGAATTGGTGTGCTTTGACCAAGGATCAAGGAAATTCTTTAAGAAAGCAGTTGAATAGGTCATATGAAAAAAGGAAATTACCTTGGAAATTAAAAATAGAACAATGTAAAATTAACATAGATATATTTTAGAGGCACTTCAGAGTAGTAGGCTTTTAAATAATAGATTTTCACTATTAGTGTGTTTTACTGGGATTTTAGTTTAGAAGTAAGAAAGCTTACCAATAATCATAAGTATGCTTTAAAGGTAAAGGTTAATGAAATAATTATAGGTATGCTTTAAAGTTAGAAGTGAATAATAGGTCAGAAGTCATGTAGTCTAGTTGTGTCGCCTAGCACCTAGTGATTGAGGTGAAAACGTAAAAGCTTAATCATGATTGTCTAAGTTTACAGAAAAATATTTTGAACAATGTACTGAATATCTTAGGTAATCAATGTATGTCAGAAAAGATTGTAATTCTTGAAAATTATGTAAATCAAAAAAGTTT